AAATGCAAGCAGAGGCCAGTCTGGGATTTGGGGGAAGATAAACTCTCTTCCGTTGGATGTAAACAGGGCCCATGGTGCTCCACACCAAGGGCGGCTGTGAACCTCGGTGCAGGGAGGGGAGGGGAGCCTGGCCCTCTCTGGCTGTGGGGTCTGCAACCCGAAGCCCCCCACCCTCCGGACTCGAGAAGGAATTCGTGTGCGGAAGCCTTTCCTGCTTGAACTGGCGGAGGGTTTCCTTACACACCACGGCTCACACCCCCGTGGCTCAACCTGCCTCTGCACGACGGCCGCCCACACCCACCCTGTCTCACGGGTCTCCCTTCAGTCCCCCTTTTCGCACCACCGAAGCCCACCAAAGTCCCACTCCCTCTGTCCTCACGAACGCTCCCGTGACGGCCCCTCCCACATAGTCTCCTCCTCTTCTAAACCCAGGTCACTTACTTTCCAGCCACTGTCCTGCCTTCACCAGGGACTCTCTCTCCTGCCGTCTGGGGGCCTCGTCCTGTCTAAACACCTGGCACCTGGTACCCAGCGCGGCCCCCCAAGGATGCTCAGCAGACCCTTCAGGGGTGTCCGACACTTTGGCGTCACCGGGCCACACTGGAAGAAGAAGAGTTGTCTTGGGCCACACATTAAATACACAAACACTAATGAAAACTGATGAGCAAAACACAGGCTTTAAGTAAATTTGCGATTTTGGGCTGGGCCACCCTCATAGCCGTCCTAGGCCACGTGTGCCCTGCAGGCCATGGGCTGGACTCCCTGGACAGTGGTTCCACTGGTCCGTGGAGAGGGGGTACTGGTGCGCCCACAGCCAGCACTGCCCCCCAGCCCCGGCCCCAGCCCTTCCTGGCAAGGACCGCCACAGCAAACCCTGACTTCCCTGCAGCTCTAACCCTACTGTGGCCTGAAGCTGGACTGAGACGACTCCCCGACTCCTGTCAGCCAGAGCCCAGGAGCAAAACGAGACAGCTTAACGCCAGCCAGACGCTGGGCCCCCCCGCACAGAGCAGGACCTCGCTGTTCGAGGGACCTATGTCGCCACAGGAAACGGAGCGGCCAGACCGCCACCAGCACGCGCCCACCTCCCCGAACGCGCTCTGTCTGGCAACTGGCTGTGACCACGGGGTTTGCGTCTGGTGGCAGGAAGCTGAGCGCTTGTGTGAGCCAGAGTCCCTCCGCCTTCTGAGAAGACAGCAGAGCTCAGTGTGACAGGAGGTGGCTGTAGCAGCCAGACCACCGGGCTGGATTCTCGGTGAGGCTGCTGTCTGCTTGTAACCTCGGGCAAGCTCTTCGACTTCTGGGGCTCGCTTTCTTCACCTGTGAAGGGCGGGGGGCAGCGAAGATCTTGCCCATTCATTTTCTCACGTGAGACATACATGAGATCCTGCAAGTAGACATTTAGCACCATGCCTGGCTCACAGTGAGCACTCAGTTCGGAGTTCTTGTTAGCGACCATCTTCGTCCCTCCCCGCTGTGGTTGTGAGGGGAGGGGACTTCGGCTCCCCCACTGGCTGCCGGGCAGTGAATGAAGGGTCCAGGCAGCGACTCGGCGCTTGGCCAGCGCAGTCAGAGCAGCTGTGCCCCGGCCTGGCCACGGAGGGTTAGCACCTGGGTGTGAAGACGGCCAGCGTCCTCCTGAACATGACCCTGCCTCGCGGCCGCCCCACCCCCACCCATCGGCCTGTCCCAGACAGTCACGTGCTCAGCTGGAAAGAAGCAAACACGAATAAGGTCCAGAAGCTTCTGCCAGCGTCTCACTGTTAAAGTGGCAGCCGTGACACTGTGGTGTCAGAAGTCAGCAGTCACCAGGGGGCCTCCAGAGGGGTTGGGGGGTCTTTGGGGCGCTGGCTGCCTTCTGGTTCTTGGTCTGGAAGCGAGTTACACAGCTGTGTTTGGTTTGTGAGAAATTTCCAGTTGTGCTCTGATGTTTTGCTCACCTTTCTGAACACATATTGCTTGCTCTTCAGCCAAATTTCTGAAACGAGCGATTGATTCATAATGTTGCTTAGTTCTGTCGCTATGAAGTGAATCCTGTTTTCTAGCTTGGAAATTTAGTGACAACTTGATTTAAGTTCATCTTAAAGTTACATTACTAAGTGGATTGCAACTGTTTTAAATGGCTTCGTTTTGTTCATTCAGTGTTTTAAACAGCTTCATTTTGAAACGTATATTGACTTAATTAGGTACTTTTAGTTCTGTTTGGTGAATGAGCAGCTCTTGGGCCACAAAGGTTTTAACAGCTACAGAAAGGCTGTTTCCAACTCACCACGGAGGTGATAATTTACACTTTTTTTCCTACTGTATTTTGGGCTATCAATGAAAAGAATAAAACCCGGTGACTGAACTGGGCAGCAGCAGAACCACGAACATCGGGGAAGGGACCCTGTTAGAGGATGAGGGTCGTTCTTCCTGGGAGGCAGTGAACAAGGAAGGGTCCATCTACAGCCGCCTCCCGAGGTGGAGAAAGGCTAAGGAGGCTCACGAACATCGGTCTTGGTCTTTCCAGGGAATAATGAAACGAGGGCCAGGACTGTGAGTACGTGTTGGGTGGGGCAGGCCTCCCAAGGCAAAGGGGGGACAGGAAACGGCCCAGATCCGGACCCGGTAACCACGCTGAAGGTGGGGGCAACGGGAGGCGCTGGGAGAGTGCAGGTCCATGGTCCAGGCGAGTGCCCGCAGCCGGGGAAGCAAAGGTAGGACACAACCGGTGACGCGATGAGAACACGGACTGGGGGTCGCTAAGGACAAGCTGCAGGCTCAGTGGGAAGGAGGGGGCAGCAGGCCGGGGGCTGCGAGGAGGCGGGGCAACACACTCCCCACAAATGCAAAATAGGGCAGGTGGCACGAATCCATCTGATGACTGGGTGCAAGGTGTGGCTGCACCTGCGGGTTTCGGATGGCGGGAGGCGATGAAGGTCACGGGTAAAGGGAAGGATGAGACGCTGTGAGGGCAGGGTGCTGACTGAGTCATCACTGTGGATGCTGACACGGTTCGGTCGATGCAGAACGTGGGGACAGTCCCCACAACTGACACCGAGTTTCAGATGGAACTGGGCGCCGGCGAGGGAGGAACCGGTGCCCTGGTCAGGGCCACCTGTCCGCGGAGAGCATGGCAGGCAGGGCCTTCCCCCTTTCTCACCTGTTCTGCAGTGTTATCCCCGCCTCATTTTGTTCCCCTGCCTGCAGACAGCCCCCACCTGTGTCCTCACGGCGGCCCTCTGCCTTTGCCCAAATCCCAAACAGTCCCAAGGCACAGGCGGAAACTCCCGTGTAGGTGCCACTAGTCCCCACTTATCTGTGCGTTCTGACAGGGCTTTGGAGTGACGGATCCCCACCCCGACAGTGGTCAGTACCCCACAGGGCTGTCTGCAAAGTTGTTTCACCCCAGCGGAGGCGACGAGTACTCTCATTGCTCTGAAAACCCTCTCCGGCATCGACTCATTCTTCTAGCCCAGGATTTTCACCGTGCCCACAGAGTGAGTCTCTCAGTAGTCAGGGCCGGGCTGACCTGAGCAGCCACGACAGGACCCGGTCCCTGTGCTTTTCTGACAAGTGTGCAGGGCAGGCTAGTCTGCTGTGTTATTGATCCTCTCTGTCCGCTCTCTGTGACACCGAATGTAACTGTTTTCAATACAAGGAAAAGGCTTGGGAGGGACTGACATGATAGACAGTCCCTAAGGGTGACAGCTGACATTTCCTGAGCACCTGCTATGGGCCCAGCCAGTCACACATTTTAACTCGACAGATCCTTGCAGCAATCTGAGTGGGTGGCCATAACTCTCGTGCAGACGGAAACACTGAGAAGACCTGACAAAGGTCACAGGCGGGGGAAGTGGCGGGATTTAAGGCCAGGCACCATGGAACTGCAGGGTACACTCAGCCGGTGGATACTGCCCCTGAATGAGTGTTTGCTAGATTTTTAAAAGTTTGCTTTCCAACACACACCGCTCTGAGTGGCAGAGCTGGGACACAACACAGCCCCGTTCAGGAGGGGAGACACGAGGTGGCTGGGGGCAGCGGGGCGGACCTGGGGAGCTTTGCCTCCACGCTGTGGTCCCCAGGCTGCCTGGGGCTCCTTCAGCACTAGACACACAGCAGGCCCGCCTGTGTGTGTCTTTTAAAAACTACATGATCTCCACGAAGAGTTGTTCTATGTTTTACTGTATCCGAATTCTCAGTATAAGGAAGACTCTTACAATCTCGTTACTACGTGGGTATAACTTCTTCCGCTCCATGAAATCCTTATGGTCCCCCTACAGCTAGCCTGCCATTCTTTCCACAGAAGGCCCTGGTCACCCCCCCACGCGCGCGCGCGCGCACACACACACACACACACACACACATATCAGGTGGCCTCCCAGGCCCTTCCTCCGGCGGGGCGAGGTGGCGGGCATGTGACCAGACTAGCTCATTCTCAGGGTTTTCGTCGCCGATCCTTGCGGAGGTACGACGGCAAAGAACCCTGGATTCTGGCGCGGGCCCAGCCCGGGTCCACGCCCGTCCGATCCCACCCAAAACCTTTCGCTAACTTGGAAGTGGCAACCCTGGCTCGTTTCCCAGGACTGGACCCAAGCCGCAGCGGCCGCCACCTGCGGTCGCGGCGGCGAGCAGGGTTCCCTGAGGAGTCCCGTCCCAGTCCCCACGGAGCCCGCTGTCCCTCGCGGCCGGGTCCCGCGGGCAGGCCGCGGAGCCGCGGCGAGCCGGGAGGCGGCGCGCGCACGCGGGCCCCGACCTCCGCCCCCGTGGCTCCACGCAGGGACGGGACATTCCGCTCCTCCGCTCGCGCGGGGGCGGGAGGCGGGACCCTCCGATCCCAGCCTCCCGAGCGACGCCGGAATCCGGGACGCTGGGAGCCGCGTTCCGGGAATCGCGCCGTCAAGCCCCGCCCCTCGCCGTGCGCAGCCCTCGGGCCAGTGGCTTGGCGCGCCCGGCTGGCGAGGGCCAATCGGCGCACAAGGCCCAGCTCGGTGGGCGGGGCCTGGGCGGAGTCGGGGTGAACCCCGCCCGGGAGGAGGGCCGCGTGCCGCGTCTGCGGGAAGGACGGAGCGGGCCGCAGAGGGGCGGTGAGCGGGGGACGCCGAGCGCAGCCTGCTGAGCGGCCGGTGGCCGCCCTGCCGACGGGCCGACCGGGCCTGGCGCCGAGGGGACTCTGCCGCGGAGACCGGAGAGCGAGGCGCCCGCCGGAGGTGAGGGGGCCGGGGCCGAACGCGGGGCCGCGCCGCGGGAGGGTGAGGGCGCGGGCGCGGGCGCGAGCGCGAGCGCGGCTGGACGGCCTGCGAACTGGCGCTTCGGGGCCGCCCTCCTGGCCCGCCGAGAGGGCGGCGTCCCCGCCGCGCGCCTGGAGCCGCCGATCCCGCGGGGAAATCCCCGCATTCCTCCGAACCGGCCCGGCGTCCGGATTGGAGCCGGCATCTGGTGCCCCGGAATCTCAGCGCGGAGCGCGCCCCTCCGTGCGACGCGCAGCCCCTGGCCCGCACAGACAGCCAACACGTTCACACTAGCACACACACTCACCAAACACACACTCCCGCAACTCCCTTGAGGATTTTGCCCCTTTTGGGTTACGAATTCCCACTTTTTCCTTCCCCACTCAGTTTCCGCTTGAGTTACAGGCCAGGCCCTCGGCCCCCTTTCCACCGGAGCCAAGTGTATCTGGCTCCGACTAGCGTAGCTCACACGCCTTCTCTCTGCAATGTCCCCTCCCGGGCCCAAAGCTTCTGTCTGAGCCTAGGAGACGAAGGGCCCCCTGTTCTTTCCTTGCGTCCCTCGGAAGGAAACCGTTCCCGTGTAGCCTGTGCAGTATTGGGTAGTATTTCGGCGACTGGACTGATTCGAACTAATCGTTGCAGACCCAGCGGGAACCTCTGAAAGGCCGGGGGCTGGGGTGGTAGGTATGGTGAGTGCGTCCAGCACACGCGCGTGGCCGGGCTGGCGCTGCACCGGCCCCGAATTTGAAATGACTGGTCCAGGTCGTCCTCTGAGCTCTTTGCCATTTTCTGAACTTCCATTTTCTGAACTTCTAACACTCATGGTCACTCCTATTTGGAAGTATTTTGGAACAATGAACTGGAAGAGTATGTTTTGTAGAGCCAGTGGCTACGAAGTGAATTATGTTTTCCAGTGCTTGTCCTTCCGGGATGATTTTGGGCACTTGTTTTTCATCACAAGCGGAAGGAAGCACTGGCTGGAGAAAGTGTCAGAAAAGCAGGATCAGGTTTGTAGTGGAATTTTCTTCCTGGTCTCAAGTCTCTACTATTGTCTCCAGTTTTGGCAGTACTGTGTGTGTTTAACCTTCTCACAGGTAACTTAAATATTGTAAATACTGCTGCCAGCTAGTTGAATACAGTTTCTTAGGCAGTGAAAAGTGTGTTAAGTGTTCTCGTTTTTACTTACGAAATGCAGCGCTTCCAGTTTCTTTTAGACACTTCCCAGGGCTGCAGCTGGTGGTTGGATGAAGATAGTTATCTCACGTGTGTGGTGTGGGTTACAAGGCTCATGGGATAGAGAGGGAAACCCAGATCCGGTTCTTGGTCCCTTCCCCATGCTGACCTGCTGCCTAGGGCTTGGGGCCTCCACGCAGCCTGCAGCTCCCCTGCAGGGAGAACGTCTTTCTCTCGCCTTGTTTCAGAGTCTCCCTTTCTGCGGCCGGCACCCTCTTCTGTGATTGCAAAGGGAGTGGGGCCCCCACAGAGTTTTCTCGTCTCACACAACAAGCACTGCACGCTCGCTGCTGGCTGTGGGGACTCGGCTTTTCGAAGTACCCTCTGGACCTTCACAGACCTGGCAGACAGGGAGAGTTGCAGGGGTGAAAGGAAGTGCTAATTAAATGTAGAGTGATACAGAAAATGCTGCAGGCCTTGGAATGATTGCAGGGTTTACCAGAGGTCAGCCTTGAAGCCTGGGGAAGATTTGGGAAAAAGGAAGGGAACCCATTCCAACTAGAGGTCTGTGTGGAAAGGCCCAGGTATAACAAGGTCGTTAACTTGCCTGGTGCTCCTGGCTGGTAAATGGCAGACCGGAATTCATAGCTACACAGCCTGGCTGCAGACTCTCAGCTGGTACCCAGGGTGCCTACGTTTTGCTGCTTCCCGCTTGGGCAGCTGGAGGGGCAGAGCCTTAGGGCTGTTGGTCTTAGGGGCAGACGGTCTTTTAAAACCCACCCTAATGGTCTGTCACGTGCCTCAGTGTGTTAGGTTCTGAGGATACTGATACGCAAAACAAGTCATTACAGTCCAGCGCGATGAGCCCCACTAGGGAACTAGCTATGCAGGAACACTGGGAGCAGAGGTGTTTGTGAGCCAGGAGGGAAGCGCCGTGGGAACGCCGTGCCTGCGGAGCTGGAGCCGTGCACAGTGCAGAGCCGCGTCCAGGGAAAGACCGTGGAGAAGGAGGGAAGGGCGCTAGTAGCCTTCGGCTCTGCAGTAGCCGGGCCCTGGGAGGGTCTAGTGTTTGCTGGGCTGGAGCTTGGACTCTGTAGGGGTGGCCGGTAGGGAATGACAGAAGGGCACGGGGGTGAGAAGCCCCAGTGTTTGCTGTGCTTTGGGGAATCAGAGATAATGGAGCGTGACCGCAGCAGAAACCAGATTGCTCGCTCTTCTCTCTGGAAGCACTTCGGCAGGGTGGCCTGAGGGAAAGCCTGAGTCCGGGGTGGAGGCGGGGTTAGAATGGACTTCAGATATTGGAGAAGATGGTTTGCACAGGCCCGCTGAAGCCACACTTTTAGGTGCCACGTCTTAAGTAGCTACAATAATTGGCACTATTATTCAGCCTTTAAAAAAGCTTTGGGGAAAAGAGTGACAACTGTCGAGTGGGGGTCTGGAGACATTTACCCGCCACGAGAGCTCAGTGGCTTGGAGGGAGGAGGGACTGGAGGAAGGAGGCCATCAGTGCCTTGTGGGGCAGCTACGCTGAGGGCAGGAGAGATGAGACAGGGGAGGCGCACAGTGGAGGAAGACTGGACCGGGTGTGACTGAGGAGAGCTGGAGTGTGACGGGCCGGCATGGGGACATGTGCCCCCGGCATAGGCAGCTCAGGAAGGGCAACTGCTTTTGAGATGGGGGAGAGAGAAGTGCTGTGATTTTAAAGAAAAGTGTGTGCATGTGTGTGTGTGTGCATGTGCACGACCACGTGTATATGCGTGCGATGTTTTTAGGCCTGTTTGCTACGTTTGTGTCAGGGACGGAGCCGTCAAGGTGGTGATGCAGAGCTGGAACGAGAGACCCCAGCCAGAAGGCCAGGCTCGGTTTTGGGAAGGTGATAGCTGACAGCTTTGGTCTTCAGAGAACTCGATACTTTAGTGTAATAGTAGATGCCAGATACTTCTGGTGTGTGCAAAGCTGGAGCACTCGAAGCACCTAGCGGAGACTTTGTACAGGAGTCGGCAGAGGTGGTCGAGGGAAGAGCTCAGCCACGTGATGTGGTTGCGTAGAAACCGAGAAACTCGACAAGCCGAGGTGGTCAACCACGTGAGATGCTTCGGAAGCACTGGTGACGTTGCCACGACGGCTGCCGTTTCCTTTCTGTTGTGCGCAGCCTGTGGGTCCCGGGGAGCTGGGCATCGCAGGGCCGCGCCTGTGGCGACGCAGCCGCGGCAGAGATCCCCGGGTCACAGCCCGCGTGTGCCCATCCCGAGCAGACGTTCACTCCCTCCACGCCTCCACGCGCCGCACGCCTGTGGCTGTGTTAAAGTCGGAGCCGTCTGCCTCTGGACCACCCTGTCCAGCTCACTCCCGCCCGGCAGCTTCACCCTCGGCCCTGAGGGGAAGAGTCCCCTTCTGAAGCGTGCGTTCATCGGCCCTCAGTGGTCTGTCTTCACTGCCCGGCGCGGCCCACTCCATGGGGGTGTCCCCAGTGGACCGTGACAGTCAGCAGACGCGGGGCTTCCCCGACCCTCTCTCACCTGTGTGTTCTCGGTGCTTCTGTGGCGCCCTGGCCGTCTTCTGCCCTCCAAACTGCATTTGGCTGCAGCTGCAGCATCGGGAGAAGGCCTTCTCCTCTGAACTGCAGGCCGTCACCGCTTCACTGTGGGGCTGGAGTGTCTGTGTCTGCGGGGGGCAGGCAGGGCTCCTTATTTTTATTTGTTTGCTTGTGGAGTCGGTTGTCCTGATACTGTGTGTTGGATAGGCCTTTAATTCCCCCGTGATATGAGATGCTGTTCTTTAAAAAAACTGGTGTTGAATTCTTATGTACAGAGCGGGGCAGAAGTTGATTGGCAGTTGGGAACATGTGAAAGTTTATTCTGGTGTTCTCATTTATTAATCATTGTGTCATTTTTCATACGAACAAACGAGTGTAAACCAGCTCTCGCCCTGAGCACTTGGCTCTGTGTGGGAGGAGAAACTCTCCCTCGTCCCCCGGGAACCACGGACGCGGGAGAGTGGAATTGCCTCACGCACACAAGAGGCTCAGAGACAGAGGGCCACGCAGTCCACGTGACACCCTGCGCTGGCCTCACCCTGCGGGGCGGAGGCGGCCACTGCAGCACTGAGTGGGGGACCGGGTGCTGTGTGCAGCCTGTCCTGCCCGACACATGGGCCTCCGCGAGGGCTGACTTCTGCTGACCACTCTGGTTGCCTCTCACACACTCCCTACTGGGGACCTGGCCCACAACCCAGGCGTGTGCCCTGACTGGGAATCAAACCAGCGAGCGACCATTTGGTTCCCAGGCCGGAACTCAGTCCACTGAACCACACCAGCCAGGGTCTAGATATAGTTTTTGATGCTACTGTGAATGGGAATTTTTCTATTACCTTTTTTAATTGCTTATTACTGGCATACAGGAGAACTCTATTTTTTGGTGATCTTTTCTTAATTCACCTGTTATATTAAACTCACAACAGTCCTAACAGTTTGGCATTTGATTCTCATTCCTTGATGACATACCACCTACAGGTTGTTTTGGGTTTTTTTTCTCACTTTCATCTGATTTGCTAACTTTATTTTTTGTTGCGCCGTCTAGAACTGTGTCGAATAAGGGATGGCTCCAAGCATCGGTCTAGAACCCTGACTTTAAAAGGGACGCTTCTCGTTTGCATCTTCACAAGTGGCGTTGTCACTGCAGGTCTCTGATGTGTTGTGTTGGGCGAGGGCCGCGGGACGGGCCCTGTTTGGAGACGGGGCGGTGGCAGGAGTCGCCAGCCGTCTCTTCTGTCCTCCGCTGTGTTCCTGGCGTCTAGAACTGACCCTGCACAGGGAGCACTGAACGTGTTTGTCGCAGGAGCAAATCCGCTTCCTTGTGGCGAGCGAGCACATGACACGTTCGTGGACAGATGCACTGTGATTCAGCTGGTCCCAGGGTTTTGCACGGACGTAGCTTTCGTTCCTCTTGGAAAGTACCCGGGAGTGGAGTCGTGGGCATGTGGCATTTGTCAGGTTTGGCCAGGTCTTTGTCATCGACCCGTCTGTTTCTGCTCACTTTGTGATTAGGTTTGTTTTCTCTTATGTTTTGACAGTTTTAAGAGCATGTTCTGGAATAAGGTTTAATTAGAGAACTGATTTGTTAGTGTTTTCCCCAGGCTGGCTTGTGTGTTCGTTCTCTTACTAGTGTTTTTGAAGAGCAGACGCTTTCATTTTAATGGAGTTTAATTTATCAATTAGCGCTGTGTCTAAGAAATCCTTGCCCAACCCACATTCTCAAAGGTTCTTTCCTATGTTTTCTAGGTGGAATGTGTTAGGTTTTTGTAGATAAAGTTTTATTGGAACTCGGCCCCCCACACTTGTGTACACATTCTGTCCGTGGCTGCTTTAGCTTTTCCCTGACAGCTGACTCGTTCCAAGAGATGAAATCATTCCTTATCTGGCCCTTCTCAAGAGGTGTTGGCCGGCTCGTTTCAGAAGGCGCTAGCTGCATGCTACCAAGAAAACAGGAAGCGGGGGAGAAGCAGTAGAGGCGGTCGGGGAGAACGGGGTGAGAAGCTGAGTCTGAGCGAAGGCTACAAGGGGTTCATCTTACGTGTTGACCTGGGAAGTGTCCGGGACGCAGTGTGGCGTGAAGAAAGCAAGGTAGGGAGCATCACCGCGACCCCGTTCTCCTGAAGTAAGAAAGCCCGTGTTTGTGCGGTGCAAAGGTGGGCACGTAGAAAACCTGACACAGGGCGCGCACGCCCGTGTCCAGTGCACAGCAGGTGCGACGGCCCGGCGTGGAGCCGCCTGGTTCCCGTCAGTGACCACTGGGCGGAGAAGGCGCAGCGCACGTGGAGGGCGGATCATTGCACGTGGAGGGCGGGTCATCGGATCATCGCACGTGGGGGGCGGAGCATCGCTCAGCAGCGAGAGAGCGCGCAGCCAGGCTAAAATAACTCTAGCCGTGCTGAACTAAAAAAATAGAAAAAAGTTTTTGCAAAATTATCTAAGAAATTATTTAGTTGTTATCTTGGTGGGATCATGGAGGACTTTCACATGGCATATTTTTCAATTTCTGTTCATTTGAAAATTTAAAAATAATTGTGTATTCGCTTCGCATTTTAAAATATCATTGTTACAAATTTAATTTCTTACACATCATTATATTATATCAAAGGCTTAATATGTCTGAGACGCTCACAGAGGACCCAACTCCTTGCCCGAGTTCAAAGGCACCTTGTTACGCTTCAGGGAGGAACTGCCGCTCCGTCTGCCGGAACGGGGCCCGGCGAGCGGGTCAGAGCGTTAGTTTTTACCCCTCGGTGCCTTTGGCCGTCCAGCAGCTGAGCAGCAGGTCGCCTGACGTCACTGCCGGGGAGGCAGAAGTGGGGACTGTGTTACAGGTTTAACTGCCTTTGTCAGACTCAACAGAAAGTCCCTCTCCCGTTGTGGTAACGCTCCCTGCACACCAGGGAAGTTCGGGTCAGGCACGGGTGCCCGTGTGCCAGCTCGTGGCGTGGCAGCAGGATGTTTGAGCGCTTGGGTGCGGGTGGGGCTCCGGCGGGGCTCAGGAGGGTTCTTCAGTCAGACGCCCTGCAGAGCTGGGAGCCCCGACCCGGTGACTGTAGGGGAGCTGCTGAGCGAGGCTCCCCTCCCCACAGTGAGGCCCAAGGAAGGGGGGGCCTCCGTGAGTCCGGTTTCTGTTGTGGAGTCCTGGTGGTGTGCCTCCTGGTCGTTCCCAGCCCACAGTGTGTGTGACCTCGAGAGCATGCCCTAAGGTAACCTGCAGGTTTGGGGTGACTGCAGTGTGTCATAGCAGGCTCACCCTTGGTCACACGCACCAGTCTGGTCAGCGATGTGGGGGCAGGGGTATGGGGAATCCAGTACCTGCCTCTCAGGTTTGTTGCAAACCCAGAACTGCTGTGGAAAACAAACTGTTTGAAGTAGTAAAAGAACCCCTGCACTCTGCATCTGGTTCTCTAGGGGATTAGAAGTGTCAGCGGAACAATTCGTGAGAGCGCTTTGTGTCGTGCAGAGTGGACTCCCAGTGTCGGGTGCTGCGGATTCATAATCAGCACCCCTGGAGTAGAGCTGGGTTGGATGGTTTTTAAAACGACACTCAGTTACTATAAGGTAGACATGATCAGCCTCTCGCAGATTGATTCCCAGCCACACTGCCGTGCGGGACGGGATGGGGAAGGTGCTGTGTGGACGTTCCGTCCCGCTCCCTGCCCCGCGGCTCACTCTCCGGCACTGGTGGCTCGTCCCCGCAGCAAGAAGTTGCCGCTGTCGCTGTTCCCCACACGCAGTGGCACTGGACGCGTTGGTGCTTTTCCGCCTGTCCTTGGGGGACACTCACAAAACACAGCCAGCACGATAAAAATAATTCCTGAAGGCCAAGACTATTAAGTGTTTATCCATGTGGCTCCACTGCTTTTCTCCCATTGGAGAAAACCCCTGGGAGTGAGAGTGGGTGAAAGCGAAGGGCTCCAGGGATCATCTTGAATTTGTCTGCTGAGTGTCCGTAGCCGTGAGTCGCTCCAGCCGGAGGAGCTGCTCAGTTCTCCGAGGCCACCGAACCTTTCCTGCCGCGGCTGTGGTCAGGGGCCAGGCTTCGGCTCCAGACGCCTCCCGGACAGCTCGCAGCCGCTGCTGAGCTGCCTGGGGCCTCTCCTCCAAGTGGTGCCACCGGGAGACGGCCGGTTCCAGCCCTCTCCGTGGTGCGGACGAGGGGTGCGGCGTGCCCGGTGGAGTCTCAAGGGCCGGCTGTGCGATGCGGTGGCCTCTTCTGATGGGGACTGCTGGCCTCGGGAGGCGGGAGTGAGACAGGTGGACAAGGAAGGTTCTGGCCCTCAGCAGCTCTTCAACGCCTCTGCCTGAGATGCCCCGCGGCAGCTCACTGCCGGAGGCCCGAGTGCCGAGCGCCTCTTCCTCGTCCAAGGCTGCAGCGTCCAGTGAGCGCTTGTGTCTACGAACGGAGGGCTGCTTTCCACGGGCTCCACCACGGGGCCCTGGTCTTGGAGTCCACAGCTGTGCTCTGGAGAGAAAGCTGATACGTTCAGTGTTTCTATTCATTCATTGTTTCTTACCACCATTTATTCCCCCCCTCCACCTCCACCCACCCCTCCTGAGTATTTTCTAATTGACAGTGTGTTTACTTTGAGCAGACAGTGGCCCCTCCCGCGCTGGGGTCTGAAACGCCCAGTGGGGGGCGTGTTTTCACACTGTTGGGGGCGTCACACGTGGGTAAGAAGTTAGCGTGTATTTTGTTGTCTTTCTTGTCTCGCCCACCAGTAACACACGGTTCGCCCCTTAACAATACACCTGAGACCACCTCACATGCGCACAGCACCCGGCTGCTTCCCGCTCTGGCTGTTAAAATCCTGCTCCGTGAGGAGCCTTGTACGTGGGCGGTTGCGCTCACGTCGGGGGTGGGGGGGCTGCCAGGAGAACCGAGGGGCTCAGACGTGTGCCGTCCGGCTTCAGCTTCAGTGCCCTCGTCTCCAGCCGAGGTCTGCCCCACAGACCACGAGGTTCGCAGTTCCGACTGTGCTGCTCTGAGCAGCTCTGGGAGTCCGCACGGTGACCTCAGGGCAGCAGAGTGCCCCAGAGTCATCTGCTCCGTGTGCTGTGCCAGGAGGTGCATCCTTGCCAGCACTGCGGGCGGTGTTTTCACTAAGCACGACTTGCACACACCCACAAGCCCTGAGTGCCAGGCACAGACCACGCCCACATCCCCCCAGCAGCTCCCTCCGACCTCCCCTCCCCCCACAACCCTGCTGACCTCTGTCGCCTGGCTCTGCCTGCGGGTCTTTGAACTCTGGTGTGGGGAAGCCTGCTCCCGGGCCCCTCTGGCGTCCCTGGGCCACACTGGGAGGAGAAGAGTTGTTTGGGCCGCACATCAAACACTAATGAAAGCCGATGAGAGAAAAAGGTTTTAAGTAAACCTGCGGTTTTGTGTCGGCTGCGTTCATGGCCGTCCTGGGCCAAGGGCTGCACACCCTGGCTGTGCCTCCGAGTCATCTGGCTCCCTCCCCCCGTGTCATACGTGAGACTCAGTCCTGATGCTGTGATTTGCTCTGTGAGTCAGTCACCTCTGACTCAGTCTCTCGGTCACAGCGACTCACTGTGACGTGGGCATAATGGACCGCCCCCAACTTGTCCCACTGCTGATGGGCCCGTGGCTGCTTCTGCTTCTGTGAGTGGAGCTTCTGTGCACTTCCGGGTGGTGCCTGTCCTTCACAGGAGTGAAACGCTCACTTCTTTCGGCTGCACACCTTGTCGCGGTTGGTCTTGTTTTTTAGGGCTTTATTTACTTATTTTTAGAGAGGGAAAGGGAAGGAGAAAGAGAGGGAGTGGAACTTCAATGTGCGGCTGCCTCTGTAGCGCCCCCTACTGGGGACCCGGCCAGCAAGGCAGGCGTGTGCCCTGACTGCAACCCTGTGGTTCTCAGGCGGGCGCTTAGTCCACTGAGCCACACCAGCCAGGGCGGTTTTGTTTTCACTGAGGTCTTTTTCTTTCTTCTACGATCCACACCTGAGGATATGTTTATTGGCTGTTTTTTTAGGAGAGAGAAGCATTGATGTGAGAGAGAACTATCACATCAATCCTGTCCACACCCCGACCAGGGATCGAACTTGCAGCCTTTTTGGTGTACAGGGCAATGCTCCAACCTACGTAGTGCCCGGCCAGGGCTGAGGTCTGGTTTGTAAACCTCACCAGCCTCTGGCACAGTCTGTCAGGAAACAGTCTTCTGCAGGCCTCCTGCGTTTCTTAGGGGCAGACCCCTTGACCGCCTGTGTTTACACCGTCTTTCCGAGGGCGATGAAAATAGAAATGGTGTCCCACAGAGCAGAGGGCTTCCTGCCCGCGGCCTTGGCACTCAGAGAGGTTGTCTTCCTCTGGGGTAAAGGGCTGGCCTGCCTCCTGCCACTGCACAAGAGCCACCTTTGCAGGCCCCTGGGGCCCAGCCGTCACCTGTTCTGGACAGTGCCGAGTGGGGCCCAGGGCTCGGGCAGCGGCTGCGGAAGTGCTGATGCCACTCTGCTGCTGCGGCGCTGTGAGTCACCCGTCCCTGTCTCCAACCCCAGAGTTGCGTGCTGGCTGCCACTCAGTCCCCGCGACCGGGGGCCCCTGTGCCCCGAGGGGCGGGGCTCGGCCGTGGCAACACCAGCCAGGGCATTGCGACCATGTGGAGTCTCGCCGTCCCCGCCGCAGTCAGCCCATAGAGCGTTTCTGTCACCCCTGGAATCCCGTGGTGCCCGGTGCGTCTGCCCCTCCCCGCTGCAGCCAGCCCCACTTTCGGGGCTGTGTCCCTGTGTCATGGCCACCTGTCATCTCTCCCGGGAGTGGAGTCACGCGGCGACTCTGCAAGTCCTCTGCCTGCCGCGCCCGCCACTAGCTCACCCCTGTGTCTCGAGGAGGTGCTCTGCTGTGGGGACAGCTGTTTGCTTCCTCCCCAGCGGCGGCGTCTGGGTCCTTGCCAGGTGGGGACAGTGGTGCCTGGAGCTGGAGAGCAGTGGAGGGCAGGTCTCTGGGAGGCCTCGCGGTGCTCCCTCTGCTCTGGCCGGTTCTCGGGAGTGGCAGTGCTGGCAGTGCGGCCTCTGCAGGTGCCTGGCGGCCGGGGGAGGACTGGCACGTTCCCCCGGCGTCTGTGTCACCTGGCGGTGCTCTGCGGCCCTCAGTTCGCATCTTCCGTTGTGAGTGAAGTTGAAAGTATCGTTTCACGTGTTCTGGTTACTTGCATTTCCTTTTCTATGAATTGCCTGTTCACCTCTCCTTCCTGTTTTTCTACTAGGTGTTGGAATTTATTACTGATTCGTAGGCTGCTACGTGTGCTGGGGGGTATTTTCGGTCCCGCTGCGGATTACAAGCCTCTTCTCTCCGGGCTCTCAGGTCACTTTGGAGGTTGCACGTGTGGGCTTTGCCGTGCGGAATCCGGCCTCTCTGCCGTGCTCTGCCTCGGGGTGTTCGATGACAGAGGACAGGGGTGTTCTTCTAGCTCACCCTGAAGTGTAAGACAGGCTTCCCACCAGTAGTTTACGTAGCTGTACCTTCAGTGGGGATAAACAGATATTTCAGAGACTTAAAATTGTCGGCGTCCTCACAAGAGTTCACCTTTTAGAAAACAGTTATGCATGGAAAACAGAAGAGCTTTCAAAATTGTCTTGCCTTCGGTGCAGTAAGAGGCAAAATGTTAAAAATCACGTGATGCGTGTCTTTACAGAAACACCCGTGCAAGATGCTGACACCGCTGACCTGGGCGGGGCGAGCGCTGTTCGTCCTCCTCGCCGTTGCCGCGGAGTCTCTAGGTAAGGCTCGCGGGACACCCGCCTCCTGCCCCCTGTCCGGCTGTGCAGTTAATGTGGTTGTGCATGTGCTTAGTGACTGTATAATTACCTTCGCCGCTTATTCTTTCTAGGGCCGCTATTAAGAGACTAACGCTGCCCTAAAATGACTTGAAGACGTGCAGTGCTCGAGATGAGTTATACTTTGTGTGCTTTGCGTCGAGACACTGATTTCAAACGCTGCGTAGCTGTAGTGACGATAACTGTGAGGCAGAGAAAGGGAAAGTTTTGGGGGTTTTGTAAATAAACAGAAAATTTGCTTATCGCCCTCCTGGCACCTCGCTGCCACCGCGTCACACGCAGTGCGGGGTCCCGTCCCACCTCTCGCGCTGCCTGAACACGGGGACACCGGCGGTCCCCATCGCCGGGGCCCCCTCGGAAGTGTAGTGCCTTCATGCACAGAAGGCTCTTGGACACTGGCCCCAGCTTAACGAAAAGGACAGGACTTGGATGTCCGTGGTTCGGATGCGGTGCTCTCAGGAAAGTGGCCGCACTGGGCAGGACCGAGTGCAGTGGTTCTGCTCCCGGCTCGGGACTCATTTCCTGCAGCCACACGGTGGGTTGCGGCTGAGAGGCACCGTGGTTTCAGGTTATGCTGCTGGTCAGGGTGAGGTCTCGGGGTTCTCCCACGAGGTACTTTCGAGCCATGTCTCTGTCACCCTATGAGACGGGGACACTTTCCTCCATTGCCAAGGTCACTGTGCCCATTTCCCCCGTCGGTCTACTCTTCCAGCACAGTCTAGACCCCGGCGTCGCCATCCAGCGCGTCAGCAACCCCGTCTGCTCAACCCTCGGCCAGTTTGGTGGGTGTGAGCGTCCCCTCTCTCTTTCCTCCCACGTTGGCGGTTAAAGGGCTGAAGTTCCTGGACCGCTTGTCTGCTGCTGCCTCACCAGTCACCCCAACACTCCGTGGCCTCTGCGGGTCGCGGGGTCGCGGTGCAGACGGGCCCGCACAGCGTGGTGTGTCTGGAACTCGGAGCTGCGGAGAGGGGCACGGTCGTCGGGGGCACAAGCCCACCCGTGTGGCGCCGCTGCCAGCCGAGGGCTGAGTGCAGTGCTGCGGCTCTTGCCCAGAACATCACACGTGGCCTCTCTCCGTGTGGCGTTGCCTGGGTTCCAAGGGCAGACGTCCCCAGAGGAAAAGAGAGCTGGAAGTGGTGTGTCTTTCACAGCTCGGCCTTGGAAGTCAGAACACCCACTGGCAGGGGCAGAAAGAGGCAGGTGTCGGGGAGCAAGGGGAGACCCGGACCCCACTGCTCAGCGGAAGGGGTCCCAGTCACATTGCAAGGAGACTGGTTGGGCCTCGCCCGAGCGCTTCAGCTGGTGGGAGTGTCGTCCTGTGAGCTGAAGGTTGTGGGTTCGATGCCCAGGCAGGGCGTGTGCCAGGTCGTAGGTTCGGTCCCCAGCCGGGGTGCACAGGAGAGGTGGCCATGTCACCGTTTCCTTTTTCACTTCCGCCCTCCCCATCTCCATAAAATCGATGGGCGTGTCCTCAGGTGAGGAAGAGAAGAAGAGGAGGAAAAGTGTGGGGTGGGATGGATGCAGAGCTATGCCCAAGGTCACGGGGCGGCACATCCGGGAACTCGGCTCCAGGCTTCCTCTCGCTGACGTTCTTAGTGTTCTTCACACGTGAGGTCAGACTGCAGGAAGGCCAGCCATCATTAACATGAGAACGGTTTGAGCATCATGGATGTGACCTGGCAGCCCAGGAGCGTGGACTGCAATGCACATGCGTGAACAGTGACGACCTCACTGTACTAGTCGGTAGGGGTGATGGACCCCAATGAGTGAGCGTGTGCTGTGTGGCCATCACATTCAAAATGACTGAGCGAGTAGAGCAGGCAATCTGCGTCAGATACTGCGTTAAGCTTGAACATTCCTCCGTGGCAACTAGTCGGATGAGTCAGAAGGATGCAGCTGCGGGCACCTGGTGAGTGGCAGCCTCATCCTGACAACACGCCTGCTCATGCATCACGCCTCATGCAGAGATTTTTGATGAAGCATCGAATCACCCAGATGACTCAGCTCCTTTCCAGCCCAGATTTGGTGCCTGGGACTTCTGGCTTCCCCCACAATCATCTTCGAAAGGGAAGAGATTTCAGCTCATGGATGAGATTCAGGAAAATACTACAGGACAGCTGATGGCAGCTGGGAGAACTGTGTGAGGTCCCAAGGTGCCTACTTTGAAGGGGACTAAGGCATCATTGTCCTCTGTACAATGTTGCTTGTATCTTGTGTCTCCTTCACTGAATGTCTGTTTTTCATCGTATGTGGCTGGATACCTTCTGGACAGACCTCAAATGTGAGTCATCAACCAATTAAACACAAGTTTGAACCTGTGGAATTTCTGGGTTTGCGTGGAAACAACAGCCAAACGTCAGCAGCTTCACAGTGCTCACTTTAACCTTCGCCACAGTAAGCTCTTGTCCGTAGCTCCAGCTCGTCTGCGTGAATACTCCAACCGACTTTATCAAATTCCTTTTTGAATTTAAAAAAACCTTCCTGGAGTCGGCCCCAGAGGGCCTGGCAGCTCTGTGAAACGGGGCCGGTCTGGACTGCACGGTTCCAGCGAGCCTCTCCGCCCAGCAGCGCGGGCATCTCTGGGGTCTCTTCTCCTCGGTGATGCAGGTCCGTGCTGTCGTGTCTCTGGCTGCGTCTTAGGCCCTTGGATGCTCTGAATTGCATTTCATGTTCACTGTTCCCATGGGCCCTTCAGCGAGTGCAACGGGAGCGGTCCGGACCGGGAGCCAGGTGCGGTGCGGGAGCTGGGAGGGCTGGCCCGGCGGCACAGGAGCCAGACGCAGTTCCACGCAGGTGGGGATTTTGAGTGACATGGGCACTGGATGTGCAGTGGCCGTGGGGAAGGAACCGCAGGGCCCCGGGGGGTCACGGGAGGGCCCAGGGTTCTTCTGTTCAGGAGCAGAGCAGTGACTCCGAACCGGTTTTTAATTCCTCCTGCCGACTCTGGGGGACGCAGAGTAGGAAAACGACTTGGTCGGCCTTCTGAGGGGTTGAGTGGGTCAGTCTTCTGCCGTCCACCGGGGACGGCGGGGACTTGGCCTTCAGGGTTGGCTCCGTGAGCGAGTGGCAGCTGGCTCTGCGGGCGTGCGCGCAGGTTGGAGCCAGGGCGCCCGAGCTTCTCCTCAGATTCCCGTTTCCACCGTCTGTCCCCCTGGCCGAGCCGCTGGTGCCAGCCACCGCTCCGGGGGCCTGCCCTGGCCGGCTGGGGTGACGCGTCCCCGTCTCCGGAGCAGTCGCAGTGCTGATGGCGGAGAGGGCTCTGCCCCTTGCGGGCTGCTGCACAGCAGCCCCCAGCAGGGGCTTCACACACCGAGTGGCCACTATGACTGGCCACTATGACGGCCGAGTCGCAGCAGCGAGAGCCCAGCCGGCCGGGGAGGAGCTGGGCCTGTGGAGGTGCTGAGGGTGGTGCCGGCCCCTGGTGCAGGGAGGGACTGCAGCCACGGAGAAGTGGGCGTGGGCCGGGAGGCGCTGCGATGCCTGTCCATCAGGCCCCATCCCTTTACTTGCCCGCCTGCGGGCTGGGTCAGGTGCTGAGTGTGTCCCGGAGCTGCTGCGGGCCTGGGGGGCTGCAGCTGCAGGCGGGTCGACACGTCTGTCATCTGTTCAGTTGTGTTTCACGTTTACACAGTCCGGTCCTCTGCTTTTAACTGGGATCCTGTCCCATCCACTGCCGCTTAAAACTAACGTGTTTGGTCCCCTTGTTCCGCTCATTCTGTCTTTTACTGCTGCCTGCTGCCTCCTCAGTTGAACGCTGGCCAGTGAATGTTCCCCTCGCCCCCAGCCGCTCGCGGGCCGAGGGTTCCGTGTGGCCCCAGGCTGTGGACGGACGGCCGCCCGTGCTTCTGGAAGCTGAGTTAGAACAGCGCGGGGGGCTGAAGCCTGCCTGGGCTTCTCTTCCATGTCCTCCCGCGTCGTCCTTGGGTTCGCTTGTTCCTTTACAGGTGCCGGCGCTGGACTCTGGCCTCACCGCCTCTCCCTGCGTGTTTTCCTCCTGCGTCTCTAGGGGTGGCGGGGCCTGGAGGGGCTGCCCAGACACGAGGCGCAGCTCCGCACCGTTCTCACGTGGCCGCTGTTGCTCCCCCAGGCGAGCTCCTGGACCCCTGCGGCTACATCGACCCCGAGGCTCCCCTGGTGCCACTCGGCTCCAACCTCACCGCCGTGTGCGTGCTGACGGAGAAGTGCATGCGGAACTTCCACGTCAGCGCCGACGACATCTTCTGGAAAACAAACCACGTCACGGTCCCTCGAGAACAGTACACCGTCGTAAACAGGACGGCGTCCAGCGTCACCCTCACCAACGTGTCTCTGTTAAACGTCCAGCTCACCTGCAACATTCGCACGTTCGGGCAGATCGACCAGAACGTGTACGGGGTCCGCGTGACGGCCGGCCGTAAGTGTGGGTCCTGGCTCACCACAGACTCGGTCCTCGGTGCCCACCGCGCTTTTAGCGTGGGGGCTGGTCTCGGTGAGGGGCGGTGGCGTCTGGGCGGGCTGAAAAGTGGAGCCGCAGGCTCACCACCCGAAGTCAGAGAAACCGGACAGGCAGGACAGGGTCTGCGTCGCCGTCTGCCCTGCCGGACGAGGCTGACTGCGTGCAGCATGACGTTCAGTGCCCTCCATGGCTGAGGAAGTGCACGCCAGGCAGCCACCTGAAGAGGCCCGTAAATACTGGAGAAGGGCTTCTCTGTCCAAGTAGTTAAACTTAGTGTGGTCTCCGAGTGGCAGTTGGAGTCTCTGCGTCGCCCAGAACGGGTTCTGCCCTCAGCTTTCCTCCCCGCAGAGTTTGGGAAGGAAATTGGAAGGGAGATACAAGCAGATCATTTTCACTTTTGTTCACTAGCTTCTCACTAATGTGCACATATGATCACTTTTTAAAATGCACTTATTAGAGAAGTCAGCTGATCCTGTTATCTAGATACTTATGTAGAAGGTTATTGTGAAACATACTAGTTAATGGCGGTTGTGATAGGAAATGTGTGTTACTATCTTGAGAGAAGTTCGAGGTTAAATAGAAATCAGTTTTTGGGACACTGGTCTCACTGTGCCCTCACTTTTTGCCTGAGCTCTTTGTTTTCTAATTTTGGTTGTAAATTTTTAGGGTAACACACCACACACTGCACATTATTTGTGGCTAAAAGGCTTTTGAAAGCTGTCTGTCTTTTTCCTTCTAGTGCCTCCAGGAAAACCCGAAAACCTGAGCTGCATCGTGCAGGAAGGGAAGAGGATGACCTGCCAGTGGGACACCGGCAGGGAGACGCACCTGGAGACGAACTTCACCTTGAAGTCAGAATGGCAAGTCCCGCCGAGCAGCCGTGGGCTGGGCTCGCTCAGTTAGGCGCTGGTGCTGGAATTTTCGCTTGGTCAACTAGTACCTTACACGCAGATTCTCACCCACTTCGTCCTACATTGCGTGTGAGCACGTCTGAGGGCAGGCGGAGAGCAGCGTGGGTCCCCAGTGCCCGCCGCCTGGCTCGGTGTGGCCCCGCCCTCCGCATGCCCCGCCCTGGGCGGTCTGGAAGGAAACCTTGGACGTCCTGTGCCTCTCAGCAGCGCTGGAGCGCACGCTCGGAAAGACAAGGGCACTTGAGAAAACAGCCGGGCCCCGCGAATGCTCCGAACTCAACGCGAGTCCAGTCGAGCTGTCCTCGCGTCCCCAGTCAGGGTTCAGCTTCCCCAGTTGTCTTGTAAAAGCGGGGATTACACGCCTGCTCCCATCGAGACGGAGGCAGTCTGTGTGCGTGGCGGACTGCTGCGTCTCGCCTCTCCCGGCTGCGGGCCCTGCTCCGCGTCCTCTTTGACTCCCTCGTTAGAACAGCCGTTCGCGTTCCGCATTCCTGTCCCTTTATTTCCTGAAAATGGCTGTTAGGTGCAGAGGCTTGATCAGACGCAGCTCCGATGCTTTTCCCCCAGAGAGCGGGGTGCTCTTCGATCAGGGACCGCTGCCTGGTGGTTGACTGGCTCCGCCCTCTGACCCTAAGACCGGGCAGCAGTGTCTGGCGTTGGCGGCCTGACCTCTCATTGGGAAATTTGCCATCACTTTCCATCAGACACAAAAGTGGAAAGGGCCCCACACACACCCATCGCCGGGGTTCCAGTTACACTGATGCTTCGCTGTTTTGCTTTGTCGCGTACCCACTTACACCCACTCACACACCCTCTGTCGGGCTGTCATCCCTCGTACACCTGACAGCTGCCAACACAGGCTGCTTCACCCCGAACACTTCCGCACACACGTCACTAGTTGGATGTCCTTAGCTGTTCTGTGTTTTGGTGCAGTTGGTGAGTATCTCACACACACAAGTACTTACACACCTCAGATGTGTCCTTCACGGAGTCTTACCCGTGTGGCTCTGACCCCTGTGGGGCGGAAGGTGTCACGGCTCCCTGGAGGCCTGCGGGCCCCTCCTGGCCCAGCCGGCCGCCTCCGGTCCCGCCCTGGAACCCTCTTTCCTCGTGGGCGCTTTGCCTGTTCCACAGAGTCGGGAGACGTGGAGTCAGACGGTATTTTGTCTTGGGCAAACGTTTCTGTGGCTCAGCGGCACGTTTCGGGGATTGAGCCTTGTTGCTTCCGGATGGTCGCTTACTGAAAGGTCTGAGTGCTTGTCCACGAGCGTTTTCTGTGCCCGAGGCGCACAGTCGAGCTAGTCGGCCTCTCCGTGTAACGGAGACACCTGCAGCTTCCCTGCACCGGCTCCCGGTGACCCGGAGGTGTGCCGTGTGTCAGACACGCAGCGTGGTCTCGGTAGTAAGTGTTTGGTTGTGTTTCAGTTTATTGTGGTTCCTCTTCTTGACGTTTCAAGTACTCATCCTTGGTTAGTGGGAACTAAATTCCAATTGGCTTACCCTTTTGACCGGCTTCATTAATCTTGGATAGTGCCCTTGTTTATTGATACGACACGATTTTTCAGGTTTCTCTTTACATATTTCTCGCCCTGGACCTAAAACCAACCGGGCCCCTAGTAGCCGCAGCCCCACGTCCTGTGAAATACCGTGTAGAGGCCGGAGCCTGGGCTGGTCGCCGTGGGCCTGTCCTCGTTCCGCAGCCTTCTCAGTGGACGCTGGGACGGACTCAGCGACTGTCCTTCTGTCACTGGGGGAGGATATTGTTCAATCACGGTTTTCAGGACACCGGAAGTAGGTGTGTTTTACTACCAGCTCAATGCAGGAGTTTATAGGTTTCATTTCCCTTTATTTAAACAATTTTTCTAAATTTAGGGAGAGAGACACTGGTTTGCTTTTCCACTTACTGATGCATCACTGGTTGGTTCTTGTCTGTGCCCTGAGCCCGGATCGAACCCACAACCTTGGTGCATCAGGAGGATGCTCTAATCAACGAGCTACCTGACCAGGCCCTCATTTTGCTTTTATTTTTAGAAATTTTCTTTAAAATGTGAAATAACTGGTTAATCAAAAATTCAAATTTGTAAAGCAAGGTATATTCACAGACATCTGCTTCCCTGTCTCCTATACCTTATTTTCTCCCTTCCCCTGGGTTACCTGGTTTGGTTTGGTTTGGGTTTGAGCTGCCTTTTTATTGTAAAAAAACAAGTGTATATGTGAGTATTCTTAGTTGGTACGTAATCCAAACCTGTGTCAGTGAATGTAGAGACGTCACTTACTTTCTGCAGTGACAGAGACCGGGCACTGGTTGCCTGGTGTGACTGGTGGAAAGAGGCTCAGGGCGTGTTCTGGGGGATAGAAATTCTTTAAAAACATTGTTGTTTAACTTACTGATTTGAGAGAGAGATGTCAATTTCTTGTTTCATTTACTGATGTGTCACGGGTTGCTTCTTATAAGTGCCCTGACTGGAGATCGAACCCTCAGCCTTGGCACATCCGGCTGACACTATAAACAACCAAGCTGCCTGGCCAGGGCCCGAATTCTCACCCCTGTGCCCCTCGCTCCTCCAAGCTTCCTGTGCTCAGAGAAGGGCATCGCCGGCGAGGACTCTGTTTCAGAAGAGGGAGGAGCCGGCGCTCAGACCTCAGGATGTTCGGAGGAGAGGCTCTGGGGCAGAGGGTGGCTCTCCGGAGTAAAGATTGGAAAGTGATTTTGTGTTTAAGATACAGATCAAACTCGGTTTTAAGCAAGAGCAGGTTCGTTTTTAAGAAGCGTTTTTAGCAGTTTATTTCAGACTTACTGGAAGGAGCTTATTTACTCTAAGGCGTGACGACCTGGGTCTCACCGAGCTCTTCCCGGAGGCCCCTCCCACTCGCGTCCCTGCAGGTCTGTTTTCGGCAGCTGACCCTCCCTTGTCTGTGTTCAGGGCGACAGACAAGTTCTCCGACTGCAGGGCGAAGCGGGAGGCGCCCACCTCCTGCACTGTGGACCACTTCCCCGTGTACTTCGTGAACCTGGAGGTCTGGGTGGAGGCAGAGAACGCCCTGGGGAAGGCTGTGTCCACGCACCTCAACTTCGACCCCGTGGATAAAGGTGGGTGCGCCCCCGACTTGGAGGAGTGGTTGAAACGTACGGGGTGTATAAAGTCGTTGTCAGCTTCTAAAGAGGGGGAACAGGCATTTATTTCATTATTGTGACTTTTACAAACTCATTTTACCACCAGCATTAAGAGTAATACGGGTAAAGGAAAATACCCACAACCCGACCATGCTCCCAGCTGTTTTCACGATGAGTGTTGTGTCCCGATATTTGGTTTACAAACATCGTATGGGATCACAGTCACAGTACATACGTTCCATTTTTATTCCTTTTTGCAATTTTATGTTACAAATCCTTGTTTTGTTGTGTCTGAACCTGGAAAGGCTGACAGAAGTGCTAACCGAGGAGGAGGGCTCCAAGTCAGGAGCTCCTTCCCGCTCCAGGAGTGGGCCTCGCACCGTCTCCGGAGCAGCTGCCCGGTGGGTGGGGCTGCGTGAACGCCGGGAAGTGAGGAAGCGTGGGGAGTGCACGTGAGCGTGTGCACGAGCTCCATGAACGCCAGGGCTCCTTCTGTTCCTCAGTGAAGCCCAACCCCCCACGCAACCTGTCGGTCAGCAACTCGGAGGAGCTGTCCAGCATCCTGAAGCTGACGTGGACCAACCCGGGCATCACGAGCTTCATGCCGCTGAAGTACGACATCCAGTACCGGCCCCGCGGCGCCTCGGCCTGGAACCAGGTGCGCCCACGTCCTTTGTGTGCAGTCCTCCTCACCGCCCTCCAGCCTGGAAGTCTGGGTCCCCGTCCGACTCTCTCCCCTGGAGCATTTTGCCCCTCCTCTGCTAGATCTGCATTGCGAGCGAGGGCAGACAGGAAGACGTCCGGCAGAAAGCGCAGTTTTGCTGAACTGCAGTAGCTTTTAGGCGACAGGAAGTAATGCGGGGCGGCAGCAGGTCGCATGTTCGTGGGAGGTGGAAGGAGCCCCAGTGACGCGCAGGTTGAGGGGAGGAGTAGAGGTGAGAGACGGTGCGTCAGGGGCGAGCAGGGGCCGCAGGCCAAGTTGGTGGGCCAGCGAGGTTGGGAGGGGCCACAGCCACGCCCGCCTGTGCACACAGCGGGCAGGTGAGCACTGCGGCCCTCACCACCGACCACCTAGCCCTCGACAGGAAGTCTGCCGCCCTGCAGCCAAGTAAGGGCTTGGTGGGGACTTGTCAGACTGGGAAGGAAAGGCCAGGGGACCCAGAGGTGGTGCCGTCAGCAGGAGGGCTGGCTCGGAGCGTTTCTTGCAGGGCTGTCCCCAGAGTGCCCAGACCTCCACTCTTGGGGCGGGGACCACCAGCTTTGTCCCCTCCAGCCACAGAGTGAGCTCACCACGCACTCGAGCCCTGACCTCCCCTGTACTGCTCGCCAGCTGCAGGGCTCGGGTGGCAATGAGACGGGGCCGCAGACCCGAGTGGGACGGGGCTTCCTGCCATACGGGGGTTGGGGCACTGACACCTGCTTTGTGTTCAGTGCTGAAAGCTCGGAGTAGCGGAAAGAACCAGTTACTTCCCCTTGTTCTCCTCTGTCTCCTAAAAACCAAGTTTGTCTATAGCAGTAGCTTTTTCTTGACACGCCTGTTTGGCGTGCCAGGCCCTCCGCAGCCCCGCTCGCTGTCTCGGTACACTGACCCGAGAGGGGTCCATCTGTGGGTTCCACGTCCTCTGGCCTCCCCCTGTTGGGAGACTGGGCAGAGGGGGTCTGGCGGGAGGGAGCAGCCGGAGCGGGATCAGCTCACTTGCTCTGCCTGCTTCCTGAGCCTGGAAAGACTAACAGAAGTGCTGACCGAGGAGGAGACTCCCGCCCGGGAGCTCCTTCCCGCTCCAGGAGTCGGCCTCACAGAGTGTCCAGAGCGGCCGCCCGGTGGGTGGGGCTGCGTGAACACTGGGAAGTGAGGAAGCGTGGGGAGTGCACGTGAGCGTGTGCACCAGCGTGATGAGCTCGGACGCAGAGCACCTGGGAGCCCTTCTCCCGGCCCCGGGCCCCTGCTTCAGGCCTCGGGCTGGTCCCAGCTACGAGCCCGTGTGCTGACTGCTAGGTGTCCCTGTTCCCTGCCCCCAACCCCGTCAGTCAGCGCTCCCCGAACTGAATTGCGGCTGGAACTCCCGGTCTCCTCCTGCGGAGACTCTTCCTGTTGTAGGTCCTCTGGGAGAGGGGGAGGAAGGAAGGGTCCACAGTGGACGTCTGCATACTTCCCGACTCTATTAACTTCACTGGTTGTGGCCGCTTTTGACTGGCACTGGTTTCTCTCCTCCCCTTGAGCTCACCCGCCCCGTTTCACTAGATGAGTTTCTAGAGTCTGAGGCGTTGAGAAGACCCGTGATCAGCCCCATCAGGTTCACTGCTGGCCAACCCGCTTCGTTTGCAGATCCCTCCCGAAGACACGGCGTCCACCCGGTCCTCCTTCACGGTGCAGGACCTGCAGCCGTTCACGGAGCACGTGTTCAGGATCCGCTGCATGAAGGGGGACGGCAGGGGCTACTGGAGTGCCTGGAGCGAGGAGGCCAGCGGGACCACCTACGAGGACCGTGAGTGCGCAGGGGCCGGGGCGGCGCTCGCGTCTGGGCCGGCCACATGGACCGGCCCCGAGGCTCGCTCTGTGGTCACCATGTGCAGGCCAGTCTTCCAGGCTCTCGTGTGCGAGGGCGCTCAGACCGCAGCTGTGTATGTGCTGACAGCGCACACGTGTGCGGTTCCCGGTGGGGTAGAGTGAGCAAAGACGGGGGACCCAGGCGCCTGCCAGGAGCAGGCCAGTGGACTGAGGTGAAGGGTCCAGAGGCCTCCCTGCCCAGACAGTCGTATCGGGAAGCATCGAAGCCACACTGTCTAGCAGAACGTCCTCAGGTCCTCACTCTGCAAACACTGGTGCGTGTTGTGGCGTGCTCCTGTTTTTCTCCCAGTCCTCGGTGAGGACTCCCTGGAGGAGGGTCCTGGCATTCTCGTTGGTCGGTTTCCTTTTTCCTGTGGCGGTGCTGCATGAAATTTTATAGTGAAAGGGTGTACGGTTTCGAGTAAGCTTCGCCCTTCCTCGAAAGCAGCCAGTGTTACTGGTTTCTCTGTGGCCGTTATGAAGTGGGCCTTCGGCATGTGGCTTTCATGTTGAACCTGCCCTATCGCAGCCTCCCCTCGAGGTGTCCCGAGCCATAGAGCCCCCGCCTGCCCCACCCCCCACCCCCGGCTCTGCTGGAGGCTTGCAGGGCGGTGAGTGGACGGCCCGCCCTGCCCCCACTCAGCACCTTTGCCCCGCCACGTGCTGGGAAGGCGTGAGGTCTTGCCGCGGCCGCTCCAGGCCTCGACCGGACTCCCGTGTCTCCAGCACGATTCTCGAACTGGATTCGGGGGGCCTTCACACGTGCCTGGGTCAGTCTGGGGGAGTTCAGACTGCCGGTTAGTGCTGACATGCGTTTTCCGGGGAGGTGGGACGGAGCCTTTGTGAAATCGGAGAGCTCTGGGACCGAGCAGCTAGGAGCCGTCAGCGTCGTGACTGACGCCCCTGGGTTTACTGCACCTGAGGTCGTGTGTCCGGCCCGTACCCTTTTCCAGCAACTTCACGTCCTTTACTTGTGCGTTTCTGTACTTAAAAGCGCGCCTGTCTGAACCCGCTGTACAGGCGGCCCCAGCCGCGGCCTGTCTTTCCCGTCCCGTCGGCCACGGTCGCCTCTCGGGAGCCACACAACCGCCGAGGTTTGGCTCTGATCCTTTTTAAATTCTTTTCAAGACCGTGTTTTGCAATTACATCCATGAAAGTTTTTTTGAATCAGGTAGCTCTACGGGCATCTCTAAAACCTGGTTACCAGCATTCGATGCTTTGTCCTGCAAAGCGCCGTTTTCACGTGGTCGGTGGTTAATCTCGTCGCTTGTGTCCACCCTCCGGCACCGACTGTCCCGAGCTGAGGGGCACGTGTACAGCCCGCACCCCGCTTACTGTCGCTGGTTCGGTGTTCTTGCGTTTATACCTGAAGGGGTTTTGAGCGAATACATAAATAGGATTTTTCCATTTCGTTTTTGGCATTGCAGTAGAGCGTCTTTGGTTGTTGCTTAGACGTCTGCAGCTTCACAGTTTCAGGGCCGTAAAGGAGTTTCGGTGTAATCTGAACCATCGAGCCGGCCCCCGGCTGAAGCTGGGACGGGGAAGTGCACCTGCAGAGAAAGGGACACCGTGCGGTTGGAGGGCGAGAGTGATCTCCGGGGTTTTGTTTTACTGTCACAAGCCTGTAAGCAGCGTGTGTCATTTCTGTAGGGCCGTCCAAGGCACCCAGTTTCTGGTACAAGACGGAGCAGCCCCTTGACCACGGCTCCAGACTCGTGCGACTCGTGTGGAAGGTAAAACACCCTTGACCTCTTCTGTCTCTTGTGTAAACACACTTCACGTGACGGTGTGAGTGGAGTCTTCCACCTACAGTTTCTACTCGCCCTGATGTCAGGGTCCCGAGGCCTTTAGTGACTGGAAAGCGCAGGAACACCAGGTTCCACGCGCCCCACGTGGGGCCGCTCTGTGCGGGCAGAGACCCCGTCTTCTCCTGAACGTGCCCGAGGGCCTCGGAAGCAGCTGGCGGAGGCCTGGGTGGTCCAGATGTGTCCCGGCGATGGGGAACGTAGAATCGCCAAGCAGGCTGAGGGTTCGCGAGGGGCTCCTCCTAAAACTGGGGGAGAGCGAAGCCCCGAGGCCCACGACGATTCGGGCCCGCACAGCTCCCGGGCGACCCTCCTTCCCTCCCCTCCCCCACCCTCTGCAGCACCTGCGCAGGGAGGGGCGGCCAGCGCCTTCCAGTGAACGTGCGACCCTGCAGCACTATCTGTGAGCAAGATGAAAATCAGCTTTCGTCCCGATCAGTGAAATACGTTCTCAACACGAAGTGCTCTCTTACAGACTCTGCCTCCTTTCGAAGCCAACGGAAGGATCTTGGACTATGAAGTGACTCTCGCAAGAGGAAAGGCCCCCGCGCAGAAGTACGTGGTTAACGGCACGAGGCTGACAGTGAACCTCACCAGTGACCGCTACAGAGCCACACTGACCGCCAGGAACTGGGTGGGCCGGTCGGACATGTCAGTGCTCACCATCCCTGCCTGCGACTTCCGAGGTTCGAGTCTGGGGGGGGGGGCGGCGAAGGCTGAGGGTGGCCGTGTGACCCCGAAACCTTTCTGCCAGCTCCTTAGTCCGTGCGGGTGTTTCCCGACTGTGTACTCAGCTAGGTTTTGAGATGTTACAGTTCCTTAAATGTGTTGTGTATCTGTAGCTTTCAAAGGAGAAGGATTATCACTTACGTTCACAAAACATGAGTTTGGCAGAGGGAGAACTTGCGTCTCAGATACGTCCATTGCGGGCAGATTGTGGCGAAGTGCTTTGCCCGTGACAGGCCCGTCACCGTCAGGCGGGATCCGATGGCAGGGTGACCCTCGCAGTCAGGGAAGTGGGTGCCGGGCCCCAGAGCGCAGCGTGTCCGAGTCCCCGTGTCACAGCGGTGTCCGCCTTTGTCTCACAGCCACTCGCCCCGTGAGGGCCCTGAGAGCGTTTCCCAAGGACGGCAGGCTCTGGGTCCAGTGGACGGCCCCCGGCGAGCCCGTCTCCAAGTACATCCTCGAGTGGTGCGTGTTGTCGGACCGGTCGCCCTGCGTGCCCGACTGGCAGCAAGAAGAGGGCGCCGTGCACCTGACCTCCCTGACAGGTGCGCCCCTCCCGTTGCCACACCTGCGTGCTCCTCTCACGGGCCCTCGCGTCGCAGGCCTGGTGACCCCGGGGGGGTGGGTCCGGGTCGCCCGGTGCCTGGGGAGAGGTCGGACCGACCAGACGCGCTTCCTCCTCTGCACGGCGGGCGTGTCTGCGGGCAGAGCGGGGCGGGGCTGTCGTCCTTCTCCACCTCGGTCCTGTTCGGGCCTTTGTCGGACAAATAGTCACAGAACTGTAAAGGCGCCCTCGCCTCTGCTGCTCACTGGTCCTCTGTCCCTGGTGGAGCCTCTGATCCGACAGCGACTCTCCTCCTCCCCCTCCAGCTGTTGGGTCGGGGACAGGCCCAGAACCCAGGTCCCCTGCGTGTCCTCAGTGCTGGCACGAGTGGAGGGCAGGAAGTGACAGCACCATAGGGCCCCTTCACAGGATGCATTGCGCCTTAAGGCACCCCTGCCGAGTGGCTTCGAGGTGACAGAGGAGCTTTACAGGAAAACGAACCACTTGGCTTACATGTGGCGTTTCTCGGGAGGGGGGCGCCCAGTGGGATTCAGCCGGGAACGGCACAGCCAGTCAGAGACAAGCTCGAAGCAGACACACACAGGCCGGACCAGCGCGGTGCAGTTTGTTCTTGCAACAGGCTGTGTGGCCCTCGTCCACCTGTTCAACGTACAGCGTCAGTAAACTTGGTTGACTCGTTTCTCAACCTTCCCAAATTGAAATTGGGTGGGACCGGGAGGGAGACAGGCTGGCGCTCACTGGGACCGGGAGGGCGGCCTGCACGAGCCTTTGAGCCGCCGGCTGGGCCCCGAGCCCGGCCCCACACCCAGGTCCCAGCAGGAGGCGGGGTCAGCCAAGGCCACCCCACGGCAGCGAGGGAGCCAGGGAGCCTGTGCCCGTCCCTGCACAGCCCAGCCAGGGGTCTTGGTCGTGGGTGAAGGCACGAGCGTCATGTCCCCGGTCTCTGGTGCGGACGGGCTGGGCGCAGTGCACAAACGACATTCCCCACTGTGCGCTGGAGGAGTGGGTCGGCCGCCGTCTTCATCAGCAGGGAGTATCTGTGAAGTGCTCAAGACAACTTCCCTTTTAAAATTGGGCTACTTTCCGGGGAAATAGCAGTAGCTCTCCCAGTCCCCCAACAAAGCTGGACCGGCTCCTGTGGCGGGCGGTTCTCTGGGCACGGGGTCAGAGATCGGGAAGCGGCCAGCTGGCGGTCAGAGGGGTTCCACGAGTCCCAGGCAGAGATGCAGGCGTTGCTCATGTTGACCCTGAGCATTTGTATCCACCGTGTTGGCAGCAAAAGTGCCTTTCGTTCCCAGAGCAGTTTTCCTCCGGCCTGAACCCAGCACACACAGGCCGAGCTTCATTAACAAGGTGCGGCTTTAAGAGAAAGTTCAGTGGTCGCGAAATTACAATGTAAAGTAATGGAACCAGACGTTTTCGCCACAGAAAAACCGGTGCTGAGTCTGCCTTTCTCTCTCTAGGGAACCTGGAGGAGAGCAAGTGCTACCTGATCATGGTCACTCCCGTGTACGCAGACGGGCCCGGGCTCCCCGAGTCCACGCGGGCGTACCTCAAACAAGCCCGTGAGTCCCGGCCGCCGGCCCCGGGGGTGGGACTGTGTCATCCCTTTGAAATCAGATAAAAACTCTGTGGTCAGTTTTACTGACCTCGAGTGAGTTCCAGTGAGCAAATGACCTCTATTCTGTTCCAGCACCTTCCAAGGGGCCCACTGTCCGGACAAAGAAAGTGGGGAAGAACGAAGCCGTCTTAGAGTGGGACCGGCTTCCTGTGGACGTTCAGAACGGGTTCATCAGGAATTACACCATCTTCTACAAAACCAACACGGGGAACGAGACCGGTAACGGCCTCCCGTGAAACCGATGCGGGGCAGGGGGCCAGAATGCCGCTCCGTCAGCTGTGAAGGAGTCTGCTTGTTTCTTTTAAAAGGTTTTATTTATTTTTAGAGAGAGAGGGGAAGGGAAGGAGAAAGAGTGGGAGAGAAACATCAATGTGTGGTTGCCTCTCGAGCGCCCCCTACTGGGCACCTCGCCTGCCACCCAGGCATGTGCCCTGACTGGGAATAGAACTCGGGACCCTTTGGTTCGTAGGTTGGCACAGAATCCACTGAGCCACACCAGCTGGGGCAGTTTTTTTTCTAGGCTTTTAAATACTGATTTGAGGCTCTCCTTCCCACGTTAGCTGTCTTATCATATCACGTCACCCTCAGAAAAGACACACCTGTGAACGCGCGTTACAGTGGTTGTCGTGGCTTTATGCCGGTGATGAAACTTGCTTTTGGGTGAAGTGCGTTTACTGCTCTCTGACGTCTTCACGCGTCGAGTGCGGACAGAGGTGGCAGGGACCCGCCGAGCATCGAGTGACGCGGGTGTGGTTTCTTCCAGCCGTGCACGTGGACCCCTCGCACACGGACTACACGCTGTCCTCGTTGACCAGCGACACTCTGTACATGGTGCGCATGGCCGCGTACACGGACGAGGGCGGCAAGGACGGGCCCGAGTTCACCTTCACCACACCCAAGTTCGGTGAGTGGGCGCCGGGCTCTCTCCCTCAAACCTTCACGTGCCGGAGCTGTGGGAAGGGCACCTTCGGTTCACGGTGACCACGTGCTCAGAAATCGGGGCGTTTGCGTTGCCCACCTGGCTTCAGTTGTTTCTTTACACCACAGAAAGCATTTCCCTCGTCTTTGTCACTTCATTGACTGCTTCTGACCCAGCTCGCCCGGCCCTAGTAAACCCCTCGGGGAGGGTGTGTCTCCCTCCCCCACTGGCTTCGGGTCCCCCCGGCAGAGCCCGGGAGCGGTGGCCCCTGCAGCCCTCCTCCCGCAGGCAGGGGGCTGGAGAGACGAGGCCGCCCTGTCTCCACTCGCCCCCCCTCGGCCCCTCTGTGGCCCACGGGGACCACTCAGGTGTCCCGCCAGTGCGTGCCTGTCCCAGCCTCCCCCACGGCCCCCGCCCCCGTGGCCCCCCAGCCCGCTGTGAGCTGCGGACCCCGCCTGCTCCCCCGGAAGGTTTTCTTCCCCGAGCGTGTCCAGCCCTCGGCCCTCCCCTCCTTTTCCCCAACTCTTGGCTCCCTCTTGGGTCCGGGCCTCAACTGTCCCCTGTGCCACAGCTGACATTCAGGGTGACGGCAGCAACTGCCTTCACATCTGCGACTCCTGTGAGCTGGGCATCAGGTCCTCTCGACCTGGCTTCTCACTGCTGCTCCTGCGGCCCTTTCAAAGCTCCTCTCCACCTTTTCCCAGCTTTCCCAGCACGCTGCCCAAGGTCAGGTGCTCATCTCCTCTTGTTTTGGCTTTTCATTAGCCTCCCCAAACTAGGCTGACGCTGCATTCTCTGTCCTCACTACATTTGAACCGTCGTAAAAGCCACTCCGTTTTACTGTGGTCGTGTCTGCAGCTCCCACCCCCAGGCAGCAGGCACGGCCCCCAGTGGTCGAGCGGGTGATACAGGAGGGAAGGAGTGGGTACGTGACGTTGGAAGGTCCAGAGCTCTGCCCAGGTGGCGGCCAGCAGTGAACGGTTTCTGAGAGGAGATTTGTGGGGGTGTGTTCGTAGAGTGTGTGTGCGGCAAACGAGACTCTGCCACGCTCTTCAGAAAAATAAAAGCAGCAACCTTGTTAAATGTTGTTTTGACTTTAAACGTTCAGTACAGGGAGTTTAGACTACTCAGAAAATACAAATAGAAAAATCGCCCCGAAACCCCTCGTTCAAATGATCTGGTAACATACATGTTAGCTCGGTCTTTGCGCGTAGGTTTTCCCGGACACCGGGCCACACTCACTAGCCCGGTCGCACTTCCGCGCCTGCTTTCTCACGGCCCGCCGCACCACGGACCTGCGGTGGCGGCCTCGCGTGCCCCCTGCTCCCGAGCCCCCCCCACCCGGGTGAAGGAGCGAGAGACCAGGAGAGCCTCCCGGGCCCTGCGGACGGCGCAGAGCGTGGGGATGTGAAGGTGCTCGTGGGGCGGAGTCTGCCCTGCGAAGCGATTCTGGGGAGGGGGCGTGCGTGGGCCCCCGCGTCCAGGTGCGGGCACACTGCAAGGAGGAGGCACCTGGGAGCCGTGTGCAGAGAGGCTGAGCCTGGAGAGCGAGCGAGCCGGTTCAAACAGGCATGTTTTTAAGTACAGAAATGCATCCAGGCAGACGTGTGGGTCCCCCGGCACCCGGACCCGGCTCCGTGAGGCCCTATCGGAGACTCCGTCAGCCTGCTCACTGTCTGCCCCTGGTGAGCTTGCAGGCCCACCCACGCTGTTTTCAGTGGCTTTTCCACTAGAATGGCCTGTCTCGGCCCCTGCTTCAGACTCCCGAAGGTCTCCCAGACAGGCAGCATCTGGCTAACCCTCAGTGAGCCTGTAACCCCCACTGAGTGGCCCGAGGCCCAGCACCAGCAGCAGCCGGTTCCCACCTGGGCCGCGTCCGGGCATCTCTGAGCCCGGCACAGCAGCAGCCATTCACAGATCGCTTTGTAGCTCGTGCTGTGTGACCCCAGCCAGAATGCAAGGTGGCTGACCTTGGATGTGTGAACAGCAGTCAGGGCTCAGCTACGACAGTAGGAGGGTGACTCAGCCCACACAAAGGGCGCACCTCAAGTTCCCAGCTTGGGTCACAAGAGAGGCTGTGCCACTTGACCCCACAGGACACCGCTGACATTAGGCTGCGTCACCAAGCCCAGGGGACGTGGTGTTTCCACCCAGAACCTAGGAAGCAACACAGGGAGGCTGCCAAAATGAGGAGACAGAGACACGGCCCAAATGCAAGAACAGATCCAAACTCCAGAAATGGAGACCAGCAATGTAGGGATGCAGAGTCCAAAACACTGGTTATACGGGTGCTCGGTGAACTTGGACGTGAGAAAAGACTGTGGGAGCCACAGAACAGATCCAGCCAGAAACGAAGGATAATTTACAGGGAAACAGCAAAGAGTAGATCAAGCTGGGAATCAGATAAGCTCTTTGGATTATGAAGAAGCAAAAAACGCCCAATCAGAAAATATAGGAAGACAAAAAATAATCCGAAACAGTGATAGTGTAAGAATTCTCCGGGACGACTTCAGACATGACAACATTCGCATCATCGGGGTGGCGAAAGAAGAGAGAGCAAGGAATTGGAAACCCATTTGAAAAAACAATGACAAGAAAGTGTCTTCACCTGGCAAAGGAAGTGGACACAGTCCAGGAAGCTCAGAGGCCCAAACAAGATGAGCCCAGAGACCCACGCCAAGACATATCGCAGTTAAAATGCAAACGTTTTAAAACAGTATCTACAAACAGCAAGAGAAAAGCAGGTAGTTACCTGCAGGGCAGTTTCCACAAGACTCAGCTGCTTTCTCAACAGCAGCCTTGCGGACAGAAGGGACTGGCAAGAAGTAGTCAAGGTGATGAAAGGCAGGGACCTACAGCCAGGATTGCTCTACCCAGCAATGCTGTCATTTAGAATCAAAGCGCAGATAAACAGCTTCCCAGATAAAGTTAGAGGAGTTTATTATCACCAAACCATCATTATAGGAAATGTTAAAAGGACTCATCTAAGAAGATCGAAGCTATGAACAGTAAAATGGCAGTGAATACATATCCATCAACAATTGAATATTTAAAAGGTAAACCAACAAGCAGAACAGACACAGATGCTCAGGCGCAGAGAACGTTTTGGCAGTTAACCAGGGGACCGCGCTGGGGGCTCGGGGGGGCCGTGCGAATCGGCTGTGACAGGAGTGTCACGGGCGTGAGCCCGTCACGGGCAGAGTCGTTGATGTCGCACCACCTGCCTGTGCCCGGTGGGTGTGGGGCTGACCGGTCCATCACTTGGCAAGTCACATGGTGTCTGCGCGGTGAGGCGCCCCCGAAACAGACACGGCGTTGTGTCGGCCGCGACTGGAAAACAAAGGACGGTGGAGAGCGTCTCCGGCACGAGTTGCCCGATGCGGGGTCAGCAAACCAGGGGCCCTGGCTCACCGCTTTCTAGGTGACAGCATCCCCGCCTCTGCCGCCTGTGCCAGCGGAAGTTCTAAAGTTCTTAGTCCTGTAGCAGACGTGTCGTCCTTCCAAAAACGGGAACCGTTGACATTTGCCTGGAGGGTACATTGTCGGTCAGCTACCGGGGTGGGTTCCCAGCATCTGCAGTCCCCGGAGCCTCCCCGAGCAGCTTCGCTCAGATTGTGCTGTGTGCAGGCCAGAGTCAGGATGGCGGGTCGGGTTGAAAAGCTCTGGCTTACCAGGCGGCCTGTGCAGTAACCGAGCTGACCGTCCCTCTGAGTCCCCAACCCCACACCACAGACACCCTCCTCCGGAGGGCACGAGTGCCTAGGACAGGGCTTACCAAGGGCAGGGGGGCCACCTTTAAGTCAAAAAGGCTGTAAAAATAATTAGTGTGGGTGTTTCACGCTTTTCAGCAGTGCAGCTTACCGGAAATACTGTGGGTTTGCTTCCAGACCACCACCCTGACCCCACGAATTTTGGGGTTTCCCAGTGCACGTGGAAGTCACGTTCGTACCGTGGCCTAGTTAAGTGCAAAGTAGCAGTATGTCCGTAGAAACAGTGCATATGCCTTGACTTTAAAAATACTTCATTGCTAAAGAAAAACGCCAACGGTCACCCACACCCTCAGCGAGTTGGTGGCGGGTCCCGTCTTCAGTTTGGAAAGGGAAAAGTGCGGGTCTGCAGAGCCCAGCGAAGCGCAGCGCCCACGGAGAGGCGCCTGGCTCCGGGGGCCACGTTGTCCGTGTGGCGTGTCCTCAGCCCCTCGCCTCTCACCCCTTCTCCCTCCGCAGCTGAAGGGGAGATCGAAGCCATCGTCGTGCCCGCCTGCCTGGCCTTCCTGCTGGTGACGCTCCTGGGAGTCCTGTTCTGTTTCAACAAGCGGGACCTGTGAGTACGCCCGTGCACGGTCGGCGGTCCCCGGCCCCGTGCGCTCTGACTTACACACAGTGAGACCGTGCCTTTTAAGTGTGCGGCTGGGTGGGTTTTGTAACTGTGTGCAGACACGCGTAACTGCTGCCACCATGGATGTGCCCCGTGTCCCTCCCCTCCCTGCGCCCCGGGCCCAGCCGGTCCCCCCCCTTCTGTGTTCCGGGACTCGGTTTCATGTAGGACAGCTCCCGCTTAGCGTGTTTTGAGCTTCGTCCATGCCGTGGTGGTCCTAGTATTTTCCTCTCTTCGTGGTGAACAGCATCCTGTCCTGCAGACACGTCAGTCTGTCCGTCCGCCCCTCAGTGAAGGAAGTGCCAGGTGCTCCGTCGGACTCCGCGGCAGTGACACTGCCCTGCGCGTCCCCGTGCAGACCCGGGCGTGGCCCGTGCTGCCGGAGTCGGCCCTGGAAGCGGTCACCCCTCTCGGGCGCTCGGTGCCGTCTCCACGTGTCTCGGTGTCCGTGTTCCCGACTGCTCCCCTCGTGGGGTGTCTTGAATCCTTTGCCTGTTTTAAAACTGGGCAGGTTGTCTCGTTAACTCCGAGCTGTTGGACGTCATTTGTTCTGGTGACAGCGTTTTTGTCAAGTATGCGTTTTGCGAAATCTGGTATGTGGCCCACCTTTCTTTCTTCGTTGGGACTTCAGGAAAACGAAAGTATGCAATTTGGATGGGACCCATTTTTTCAGTGGTGCTTTTTTCCTGTGCTTCGGGTTTTCGTCCTGTTCAAGGACGCTTCGCCTGCCCTGGTGTCACAGGCGTGTTCTGAGTTTTCCTCCGCAAGGTCAGTTGTCTGAACCGTCTGTGATCTCTTTGGAATCAGCGGGTGTGCGTGGCATGAGGTCAGGGTCAAAGCTCACCTTTTCTTTGGATATCTAGTTGTTCCAGCATCATTTATTGAACGGACTTTTGCGATCGAAGTGCCTTCCCGCCTTTGCCAGAGCCCCGAGCCCGCTTTCCCTGTTCCTTTCCCCCCCTCCAACTTCGGCTCGGTGCCCCCGCCCCTGCCGGGGCTTCGGCTTCGTCTGAGGGGTTCGTGGTCCTCGACGGACAGTCGAGCGTATTCCTAAGTAGTTTTCTGCTGTTGTAAATGGACTTCCGCTTTTTAAAATTTTCTAAGTTGCTCGTTGTTAATATGTACAAGTGGAGTTGATTTTTACCTTCTATGCGCTGTTGTAGACTGAGACCTCGATAAATTGTTCCTCCTCGTAGCGTTTTGGCTTTCTCGGGGTTTCTCACGCGCACAGCCTGGCGCCTGCCGAGCCCCCAGTGTGGCGTCAGGTGGGCGGGCCCAGAGCCCGCGTCTCGCCGTCCTTCCCACTGGGGGGGGGAGGGCGTTCGGCCCGTGCCCGCTGCGTGGGCCGTGGAGTCGAGGGAGTTCTCCTCTGTGTCTGCTCTGCCGAGGGTTTCTGTCGTGAGGGGGGATTGGACTTTGTGAGGTGCCCCCCTCCACCTGCTGAGACGGTCGTGTGCTTCTCCTCCTGCCTCCGTGAACGCGGCCGAGTGGTCTTGCAGTCGATTTGCCAGACGTCACCCTGTCCTCACATTCCTGGGGTGTTCACGGTGGTGCCGGTCTGTCCTTGTCATGGTCCTCGCCGAGTTTTGGAAGCAGAGCCGTGCTGGCTGCCACGGGCCCTGGCTCTCGTAATGACATTTCCTCTGTTTTCTGGAGCAGTTTGTATAGGACTGGGTTTTGTTTTTTTCCTTTTTAAATGTTTGGTAGAATTTACAGATGAAGAAATCTGGGCCTGATTTTCTCTTGTGGAAAGATTTGTAACTAGAAATTTAATTTCTTTATAAACATAGGGCCATTGAAGGGTTTATTATTTTTTCCCCCTTCTGTTTCAGGAATGTATGTTTTTCAGGGAATTCATCCATCTGAGATTGGTTGGTCTGTTCGTCTGGTCACAGGAGGCAAACAGGAGGCCTGTTTCCCGAACCCGGCCCCCACCTTGTTTTACCCGGCCTGGCACCTTGTTTCTGCCCGGCGGCAGCGCCGAGCCCCTAGCCCCTAGTGAAGGAGCAGTTACACCCACACGGTTACGTTCGGGGCCCTCTGGAGGCCACCCCGGTGAAAACGAGCGTGAGGCCCCTGCTCCAGGTTGTTGACTGTTTCCTGCGTCACGTGCGGGCGTTGTACCCCCGGGAGAGTCGTCCTGGGGGTCTCACTGCCCGTTTGTATGTTGACACCTGAACTCACCTCCCGGTGGGGGTGACGCACCCACCAGGCAGGTGCAGGGACGGGCCCGGGCGGAGGGCTGCGCCCAGCAGTGAGGCGGACACGCGCAGCCGGCGTTTTGGTGCCGGGCTGGGCTGGATTAGTTGGCTGCTTCTGGGTGCTGTTGGCCCCTCTTCCTTTCGAGAAGTCAGACCCATCAGTTTTACCACCAGGCGGCCCCGCGAAGTCGCAGCCGCGTTTCGGTTGGAGGACGGGCGTGTCTGCGCTTTGGTTACTGGATAGGGACGCGCCACGGCATCTGCGGCCTGACGCTTCCAAGTGGCTCTGTGGCCGAGCTTCCCCTGAGGTCTTTCCAACAGGACGTTGATCACGAGCGATAGTCGTGTTAACGGGTTTTCGTGATGGCAGCGAGGGAGACCCGTGTGCGTTTTAAATAGCGTTTTTACCAGGAAGCCCTTTGTGTTGGCTTTGGGCGCGGTCCCCCCCCCCAACACCGTGTCTCTCTCCTCTGCAGGATTAAAAAGCACATCTGGCCGAACGTCCCCGACCCCTCGAAGAGCCACATTGCCCAGTGGTCCCCCCACACGCCGCCGAGGGTAAGGGGTGTGTCCGACTTGTCTGGAAGGCACAGGCTAGTGAGGGTGCGTTTACAGAGGCCCCCAGAGGTGCCCCGGCTGAATCAAAAGCAGAAACAGAACAGTGTGCAAGTGAGAATTTTAACCTAAATTTAAAGCGGTGCCTGCACATTCGGTTTCATTATCAATGTAGCATATTCTGGTGTTCGTGACGTCAGGTGTTGCTGTCCTGGTGTTACAGCTGGGAAACTCGAAGTCACCAGGGCTGTCCTGCGGCGTGACGGGCACTCTGCCTCGGACGTCGAGGTGGGTGGGCCGGCCGGACGCCGTCCCGAGGCTGCACCCTGGTCTCCAACACTCCCTGAGGGGCGGGATTTCTGTGTTTCACCTTTTAATTCCTGAATTTTGCACTAACAGATTAAAATGTAGTGTGCATGTTTACATTCAGTGCAGCCTCAGTCCTTTGGGTTTGGGTTTTACTAACGTTTTTTAGTTTTTCTGTCCAGCGTTAACCGGGCAGAAGAACCGTGGGCCACCCGGTCTGGGCTGAAATGCGAAGTGTGCTTTGCAGACCAGCCGCCTGGCTGAGTGCAGCCCTGGGGGCTCTGCGGGCAGGCAGCGGACAGTGCTCAGAGCGGCCCCGCAGCGTCTGCAGGGCGGGCAGTGGGCAGCGACCTGGGGACAGCGCTGCCCGTCTGCACGCGGGGGCACGGGCCGCACACTCGGAACCGCAGGGTGAAGGTGACCTTTCTCTCTCCCCCCGCAGCACAACTTCAGCTCCAAAGAGCAGATGTGCTCAGACAGCAGCGTCACCGACGTGAGCATCGTTGAGATCGAGGCCAACGACAGGAAGCCTCTGCCGGAGGACCTGAAGTCCCTGGACCTGTTCCGGAAGGACAAGGCCAGCGCGGAGGGGCACAGCAGCGGCATCGGGGGCTCCTCCTGCCTGTCGTCCTCCAGGCCGAGCATCTGCAGCAGCGAGGACAGCGAGTCGGCGCGCAGCACCGCCAGCGCCGTGCAGTACTCCACCGTGGTGCACGGCGGCTACCGGCACCAGGCGCCGCCTGCGCAGGCCTTCTCGCGCTCCGAGTCCACGCAGCCGCTGCTGGACTCCGAGGAGCGGCCGGAGGAGCTGCCGCCGGCCGACGCCGTGGACGGACAGCTGCCCTTCCAGCAGAGCTGCGGCCCTCAGCTCACGGGGTGCGGGCGGGGGTCCCCCGTCCGCGAGGAGGACTTCGTCCCGGACCCTGCCTCTCAGCCCCCCGCCTGCAGGCTGGGGAAGGCGTTTCCGGAGGTGCTGGCAGCAGGGGCTCTGGGTCCAGGCCCCGAGGGGCCCATCGGGGGACTGGAAGCGGTGGGGATGGAGACCGCGCTCGACGAAGGGGTGCCGAAGAGCTACTTGCCGCAGACGGTGAGGCGCGGCGGCTACATGCCCCAGTGAGAGCCGGGGCTGCTCGGCCCCAAGCTGGGAGCTTGCTTCCGGGTCTGGGAAGCAGCGGTCGGCATGCACTGGCAGGAGCCTTTGCCCTGGAGGACGGGGACGGCCCGGCCTCCCCTCGCGGTCCCCTCCCGGAGAGCCGGACCCGGCGTCACACACTACAGAGACTAGTCCCCTGGACAGTGGAGGGGCTGGGGCCACATCGAGGTGTCTGCGCCGAAGCAGATCTCGGGACCTGAGAGAGTTCTTTACGTGGGTGCCAGGGAAGCAGGCGTCTCGGTGCTGAGCAGTGACACACGACTGCACGCGCAGGCCACAGACCGAGTGTCGCAGGGGGAGGGCGAGGACGAGTGGGCAGGGGCCGACCCTCTGCAGCCAAGGACGGGACCTCTCGGCCGTGAGGTGGCCTGGCCGCGTGGGCTCAGCTCCTGGAGCAAAGGGGGCCTGGTGTTGGAACTGGGCCGATCGCAGATGTTAACTTCGAATACGGTGTCAATAATCTAAACTTTCAGAAAATTGCTTTCACCTTTAACAGCCTCTTTGAAGCTGCATCTCACAGGTTCATCCCACAAACCGCCTGGAGCACTTACCAAGTCCCTGCCACGTACTAAGGCCTAAAACATTTTTCTGTATAAACACTGCTGACCCTTCCTGTTAAGGTTTCAGTTTGACTGATGAAGCACTTTATACAATGTCGTCAACTTCAGATGTATTTCAACTTAATACACTTTGTTTTTATTTTTCAGTAGGCCAGGATCGAAATTCTCTTTTTTCCTAGTGGGTGTTTAAAGCAAATTGAGTTCAAGTGCTGGGGCCACCACGCTCACCAAGACAGACCCACCCCCAGAACGGACACGCTGACCTTGGGACCTGAATGTCACGGTTACGACCTGAGTGTCTGCCGGGCCTCAGGCGGGTGGATGTGCCGTCGGTGTGGGGAGCCAGGACGGCCGGAACCCTCCGCCCGCATCCTCGGCAGAGGAGACTCTTTGTTGTTCTGCCGTTGGGGTTGCAGGGGTGCGGCCCCTCTGAGACAGTTTGTGCAGGTCATGGAGGGGAAGAGGCGGAGGACAGCTGGCGGGCCGTCACGGCCGGCGCAGAGCCCATGTGGCCTCTCGGAGCTGCCGCCGTCAGACCTCCGCCGTCTGCAGCCTTGGCTGTCCCTCCGGAGGTCTCCCACGGGTGGGCTCTTCGGCGAGGCGGGGCGGAGGTTCCCTTCGTTCTGACCTCGGAGAGGGTGGACTGGCCATGGGCGCGGAGGCCGGGTCACGGCAGGACAGGGTTTGCCTTGTGAGCGGTCCTCCCGGAGATTTGCGGCAGTCAGTTCCCATTTCCCCAAGGTCGGTAGTGGCGGAGTTGGAGTCCTGTCTCCTGTGACCCTCCTCACGAGAACAGCGTGCTGGAGGGTGGGCCGTTGCAGTGGGAGCTCTCCGTGCGGGGCGGCTGTGGAGTGTGGCCCTGGTGGGGGTGCGACGCGGGGGGGGTCACCGGGGACCGGAGGCCGTCGAGGCAGACTCCACCGCTGAAGTTGAAGCCGGTGCATCCCGCTCCCAGCTGCCGTGCGGAGTCCAGCAGGAAGTGGACGCTGCGTGCAGCAGACACGGTGCCCCCGAGAGGGAGTGGACGGAAGTGCTGAGAGTGCACGGTGACTCTGCTGTGGCACGTCTGGCACCGTCCGGTTTGGTGTGTGTCAGCAGTGTTTGGGGTGGGCAGAGAGCCCGGTTTGCGTGACATTCAGTCCGTGCACAGGAAGCTCGGGGGGTTTGCCGCTGTTCAGTCTTCGGTGCCCAGAACTGAGTTCGAGGTAAGGCTGGTGCCTCAACAAGCGCTCTGTGGACAGAACTGGTCCCCGCTGCGCACGCAGCGGCCCCTGGGAGAACTGGCACGGGGGCCGGCTCGTGGTTCCTGTGGTGTGGCTGTCACCTCCCATGTCCTTGGCGTCCCCCTCCCCCCGCTTCCAGGCCTGGTCTGAATCACGGTTGGGAAACTCACTTCCAACCCGTTACCGCCTGAAGCACTTAAAGGAGCCCTTCCTAAGACACGGCCCGGCCCACCCAGGAGCACAGCCGGGCGCGAGCAGAGCGGGCAGCCGGCCGCTCCATGTCCTGTGCTCCTGGATGAGTCCGCCTGACAGCACCGGTGACCCCAGCTCCTCGTGAAGGTAAAGGGCAGTGAAGTTCAGCCGAACTTTTATAGCAAGGGTCTGTCTGCAAAGGCCGTACTTAAAGTGGACCGTGTGAGGTAGCTCTATAAACGGGAGTCAGGCAGGTTTGGAAAGGTGTCTCTTCCCCCCCTACAGGTAACCAGTTAAAAGTCCCTGGCACACAGGTAGACTAGTTGCACACTAGAATCCCCAGAAAGTGTCCGTTGTCCGGCGTGAGTTGCCCGGTCGTCAGTCAAGCAAGCGTACCTTAACGCTCTCCATTGCTGAGAAACGCTCCGTCTCCCGAGCCTTCGGCGAGTTGCACCGTTTTGCCGGTCGGAGGTCGTCTTACCTGGATGTTGAGGAAGCCCAACTCTCTGGGGGCAGGGGGGGGGCAGGGAAGCTACACACGGTGGAACACGGCTGTCGGCCCGCATCCCCCTCCTCCTCTGTCCGGGGGTCAGGATGGACCCCTGAACGCACACGCAGTCTGGACAGTGGTGGGTTGACTAACACGGCAAAGGAGAAACTGCCTAAAACGTGCAGTTGAGCTGGTGAAAGTCATTGGGTGTTTGTTGTAGGTCGTGGTAGATTCTGCCCCCCGGGTAAGATTAGTTTTAGGAGATTTTTGCACTTTTCTCTGAATCAAGAATGTGAAACCATAAAACGGCCAGGTATTCAGCTCAGCCTGGCAGCGGCTGTCGCTGCGGGTTTGAGAGACGGTGGCCACGGGCAGACCCCCAGCCCGGCCGTCTCTGGGTGGTCCTGGACCGCAGTTCCATCTGTCTCTGTAAGCAGAGCCCAGGTGTGGGTCAGAGCCCGTCGGCCAGTGCGGAGCCTGCTGGGTCTGCGCCCTTCCCTGTGCCCTCGGCTGCGCTGGGCGGGCCCCGTGTCCCTGGCTGTGAGGGCCCGTGGTCGTCAGCGTGTGCCCCCGTGGGCGTCCTCGTGACCCAGGTGTCCTCCAGAGTTGATGGGTCACGATGAAAATGTGCCTCGGCCGGCCGTGCCAGGGTGTCCCGGGCCTCCGCCCCTCCCACTCGAGCTCTGTCTAGACGGCAGCCGCACGGCCCCGGTGCTGCTGCAGGTGGCCCCGTGGGGAAGGGCCACAGACTGGTGCTTTCAGAGGCCAGCGTTCGCCAGCGCCCAGCTCGCTGCGTTTGCACGTGGGCAGTGGGGACCTGAGTGCACTTGGCTCCTGCTGCAGCAGCTCCACCTCCTGGCTCCGCCCCCCCCCCCCCACTTGGCCGGTGCTGCCCGCCCGCCGCCCCACCCAGCATCGGGCTCGTCTGGAGAGCGTCGTGCACACTTGTGTGTGTGCGTTGGATCGCATGTGCTCGTTGTAACCACAGCTTTGTTTCTATGTCAACATAACTCTAAACATTATCGTAAATGTACTCATGCATCATCTGTAGCCCTTCCAGTAAACTTAGAAACTTTATTTAGAAATAAAGTCTTGCTGGAGTTTTCTGTGCGTGGTCACTCCCTGTCAACGTCACCCGGTTGAGGTGACGATGTCGCCATGGGTGCAGGGTCTCCCTGGGGAGTAGATGCTTCATGAGGGTGGGTTTTTGGGGTGCAGGCAGCTGGAGGCAGGAGCAGGACCGAGGAGAACAAACACTGCTGTCCTGGCCTCGTGACGCGCAGAACCGACGCAGAGGCCGCAGACCGGTTCCTGGGTTTTGCAGATTTACACAGGTGCACGCTTGGGGCCCAGCCTCCCACATTCCGGCAGAATCGCTGCCACTGGCTGACCAGGGACCAGCTGCGCAGAGGTGCCGCGCCGCCGGGAGGTCTGGCCATGGGCGCACAGCACCGCACGGCTGCCCGGGGCACGGACGGACCTGCTCGGCCATCCCCCCTGCGGGACACTCAGCTGTCGGTTTTATCTACCACGTGTCAAGTCCAAGATGAACCCACAGGCCAGCCACACGTGAACTTCCTCCCCGTGCACACTGAAGGTCATCCTGTCTGCCTGTGGGCTGTGTGCTCCTTTGTCGAAAACCTTGTGTCAGGCTGTGGCTCTCCTGGGCTCGGCCCGGCCGCCTGTGGTGCTGCTTGTCTCACCCGAGTTCGAATCCCAGGTCCTGGTTCCCAGTGGTCGCAGAGCCCCCACACAGCACCCCGTCTCCCTCACCCAGAGGCGAAGAGAGGAGTCTCGTGTTCGGTTTAAGCTTTTTCTTGTTGGAGCATATAAAGCTGCCTTCTACGCCTTCAAAACGCAGGCGTGAAACAGCGCACACTGCTCTTACGTCACATTTAAGTTCAGCGCATTGGCTCATTAGAAAACAAGAGAGGAGCAAGGGGAAACTGAGGCAGGGGAAGGAGGAAGTGGGAGGAACCACCGGGGCCTGGGCAGAGAGTCCTGTCCCCTTCGCTGCCCACGCAGCTCAGCTCCCGGACAATCTAGAAAAACCTTAGGCAGCCTGGTTTCTCAGCAGCTTAAAGTGGGTCTCTCTCCACTGAGGGAGGAGAAGCTACTTTTAAATTCAAAGTTCAACAGTTAGTTTCTTAGATTGTAGTTCATTTCCCCCAACTGCTGAAGGTTTTGGGAGAAAACAGCTTAGTTTCAGAAATCTGAGCATTCAGAACCTGATTCCTTTACATATATTCCTTCTAACTGGGGCCATGTCATTTTGCAGGTGAGAAAGCTACAACCGGAATCGTCTTAATCGTTCCTGAACTGCTGGGCAAGAATTGCGCTCCCTTCTGTGGCTTTTATTCATGTCGTCTGTGAAATCAGACTCTTCCTGGGCCAGCACAGCCCGTGAGACATCCAGGGTTGGGGGTCCTCCCACAAAGGATGGTGAGAAAAAGAAAAGCTCTGAGTGAGTGTCTCCCTGCCCCGCCCCATCTGCCCAGGCTGCATGAGGGTCCTTGCCGGCCCGAGTACCAGCAGCCAGGAGCCACTGGGCTCCCAGACACCTGCCCAAACGTGGGGCGAGGCCCCCTTGGCCAGGACAGGCTCCTGCTCCTAGAGGGAGGCACCCCGCCGCGGGGCCAGAAAAGCCAGTCACGGGGACAGCTCGTAAGCAAGTATGGTCTCTGGACTCAGCTCTGTAAGCTCCCAGGAAGGGGACACTGCCTCTCAGTGAACAGCCCAACAGGGTCCAAGTTCAAAGGCCCTGAGGTGCTGACAACAGGACGGTTCTGCAGAGGCACCGAGGGCAGGAAGGCGGCCAGTCCTGGCGGCAGGTCAGTGGGTGCGGACCTCGCTCAGTGTCCGGCCCACGCTTAGGAGCACCTGGGTGAGCCCACCGGCGTCCGCACCCAGGTGTTGCCTCTGAACAGCCAGGTCCTTATGTGGAGTGGGGCTGGGGGGCCGTGCCGGGGGCCTCCCTGTCACCCATGGCACCCCGCGGTGGCACTGCCTGTGAGAAGCTGAACGGAGCACAGACCGGCTGCAGGGTGTGGACTTCAGACCGTTAAGTCCTTACCAACCCTCCTGAGGTGAACACCAGCGCTGCTGAGGACCAGTGCTCGGGAGGCGGGGCCCCAGGGCCATGGGGTCGGCCGCAGCCGGGCTCCAGGCCCTGACTGCGGGGCCCACCTGTGCCCACTGTCCCAGCTGCTGAAACAGGACCCTTGAGCGGTCAGCTGAGAGCGGCTTGCACAGTCCTGCGGCTGCTTCTGGCGGCGCGTCTCCGCCACGTCCCTGCCTCCATACCGCCCTCGGGCTCCCCTCCGATGGCCGCCCTGAGACCCCAGCCATCTCTCCCTGCTCAGTGCCCAGCCCCCACCCCAGCCACAAACGTTCTCTAACCACAGCCGGCAGCACCTGAAGCAGGTCACAGAGTGCACGGGCACAAAGCTACGGTCTCATTCCTCAGCCAGAGAGAAGATGCTCTGAAGGTGGGATCTGGCCCCTGCAGCCAGGGACCAGGGACCAGGGACCAGGGACCAGGGACCTAGGGACGGAGCCCCTTCCTCAGGGCTCAGGCCTTGCCCCTCCTGTCCCCGGTGGGTCACTGACATGCCCACCCCAGCCTCACCGCCTCAGGGTCTCGTTCAGAGGCGCCCTCGGCCACGCAGGGTCCCACCGTCCACTGGGTGGCAGAGGGGCCTGCCGCGGTCCACAATGGCCATCAGTCCTGTCGTCGCCCTTGTCCAGCACATCTGGCCCCCCTCACACTGCCGCCTCTGCAGACACACTCTGGTTTCCGGACACACTGGGTTTCCTCCACCCTCCAGCCTCTCTCTGTGCTATTTCCTCTCCTGAAATGTCCTTCCAGCCAAGATTCCTTGTTCAGCTGGAAAATCCTGACCTATTTGCCACAAGCAGACTGGGGCCTTCCCTCTCCTGCTCTCCCCTCCCCCAGGAGCTGAGGGCCTGCCCTGTTTGAGGGAGCTGAACCCCACCCTCGCCACCACCTGGCCCGGAGCAGGCTCCCGGGAGGCTGGCCCCTCTCAAGGGCTGGGGCTGCTCGGTGCTGGAAAGGCTCACAGGGAGGGGCGGGTGGGCGAGCAGGCAGCACAGACTGTTCGTTGTCATGAACTTTTGTTTTAGCGCCTGTCCCAGGGTCCACTTTGCACGGTGCCGTGGCGATCAGAAATGTGGCCATCTCTCCCCCTCCAGCACGAGAGCCTCCCCCATCCCTCCCCCAGCCCAGGGGCACAGGCTTCTTTAAACCTACATCTGTGCACTGTGAGTCAAAACAGCAGCTCAAACAAGATTAAAGCCAGGGGGGTTCCTCCAGACCACCGTACTCCAGCCCATCCTGCAGGCGAGGAAAACGAGCCGACCGGCCAGGGAGCCGTCCGACCCCCAGGAACAAACCCTGGATTTGGGGAGGGCGTGGTCACAGCAGAGGGAGGCGGAGCCCTGCCCTGAAACTGCGCGATCAGCGCGTGTAGACTCAGGCTCAGCCTGAGGACAGTGTCGGAAGAGTGCGGGCCCCGCACACCAGGCCCCGAGTTCCTCCCGGCTTCCCGGCAGCCCCCCCAGTTTCTCCACCAGAAGGGCCTTGGGAAAACCTCCGGACAAGCCGAGAGGCAGGGACGGAACACGTGCTGGGGGCCAGGCACTCCGACCCCCTGTGCACGCCTGACTGTAGAACCGCCTCCGAACCCTTTCGTACTCACAGAGGTTCAGCAGAGACGTCCAGTCGCAACTGTTCGTACCGAACCCGGAGGCAGCCCGGACAGGTGTCTGTTCCGCAGCAGGTTCACGGGAGCCTAGCAGCCCCGTCCCCAAACAGGGAGGCTCCGTGCGGTCCGGTCTGCAGGCCCCGGGTCCTCTGCTGCTCCCAGGACGATGCTGCTGCAGCGCCCCCCAGCCCCCGCCCCCATCACGTGTGGGGAAGAGGAAGAGGCACAGTGGGCGGGGGGACAGGAGCTCCCCGGCCAGGCCCGCAAGCCCCCGCACACCGGTGGGGGACGCTCTGATGCTGGGGCCTGTCCCAGAGGAGCCCCCGTGGTCCCAGGACACGGGCCCTGTCCCCCCTCGTTAGCACAGGTTCCAGCCCTGAGGAGGCTGAGGGGTCGGGGGGCAGCACATGCCTGTCCCTGTGCCCACAGCTGGGGCGGGTGGGGCCCAGCGGGGGGAGGAGGGGGGTTCCAGGGCGTGTCTGGACAAGGACCCTGACAAGGGCGTCCCCAGGTGACCTCTGAAGGCAAAGAGCTGAGAAAGAGCCGTTTCCTCTTCCAGGACAGTTAGTCGGCACCACTGCCCCATTCGTACCCACTTCGCCCTCCTTCTTCTCTCGGCCTGACCTGCCGGGGACCGCACACGTGTCTGCAGGCCTCACCTGGGCCTGCGCTGGGCAGGCGGCACTGACAGGGAGGGAAGCAGGGGCCCTGCCGCAGACATGCCCCAGGCTCCCAGAACGAGCTGAGTCCCACCCCACCCCGGTCACACAGCCCCCCACACAGAGGAACGGAACCAGCCAGGTGAGCCGCCTGGAGAAGGACTGGCGGCAGGCCCACCTGGCAGAACCTCCCTGGCCTCCCCTCTGCTCATCTGTAACCACGGCAACGCCGTCATACACCTCAGATTGGCAGCCTGGAAGAAAGGGGCCAATTCCTATAAACACAACCAACCAAGACCAAGGCTGAATCCTAACTCACCCCTTGGAAGGAGAAGGAAGCAGACGCCAAAAACCCAACTCCCAGCAGTCCAGGACCCGGGGGCTTCCCTGGAGAACTCTACTAAATAGTCAAAGAAGAGTGAATACCAAAAAAATTAATTCCAAAGAAATCGAAGGGGAGGAAAGACTGGCTTCCCAACTGTACTTTGTGAGGCCCCTATCGCCCCAGGAGAAAAACCAGACGAGGAAAAAAAGTTACAGGCTGATGTTCCCAGCAGAAATAGATGCAGAAATTCTCAATGAAACACAGTGTTAGCAAACCAAATTCCACAGCCCTTTGAAAGGGTCGTGCCCCTCGACCAAGTGGGGTGCAGCCCAGGGACACCAGGCCAGCTCAACATCTGCAGGTCGGTCACCATGGTACACTGTGGACAGACAGACA